CGGTTACCCTACCACATCAAGTACTTGGATAGGCTCACCTAACAGTACGTTCATGTGTTAAGTAACATTCGATGGTGTTTTTTGGTCAACCAAGGTAGACATATGTTGATTGTCGAATGAGTCAGTGACTGATGAAGCACATTTTAAGCACATATTCATCAGAATAATTAGTTTGGTCACCAGCTAAAGGGTTATTATGTTACACTACGAACATGTAAATATTGCTTGCTGCTTAAATTACCTACCATGAACCCACTGCACGTTTATGACCACGACCGATTCACCGGTGTTGCTTATGTCGAACGGTCGATGCACTTCAGGTAGATGGCGGCAAGTCTTCTCGGGTGCATCGCATCACCGTTATCATCAGCTATTTGGCATATCTGTTGAGGTTTGACCAGGTGGGCATCATCAGGATTCTGAGACAATGGGTTACGCAATCGGCAGTACCGTTAACAATATATAATATTTTCATGAAAAATGTGCTTAACCTATAAGCAAAAAGGTAGTAGCGATAGATACAGTGGCGAAGCTGTTAAAACTTCACCTTTTTTAAGTTGCAGGTAGGGGTCCTTTTCGAGCAACTTAAATTGTGCGTTTTTCTGTATTTCGTATTTTATTGCAAATTTCTTTCAGAACTTTTCGAAATTTTCAAAAAGGTTATTCAGAGCATTCATTGTTCAATTCCACATCAGCCTAAGCAAAAATGACGAAAGAACATCAAACGGTTTTCATTTTACAGCGATTTTACTATACCATTGCCTTGCTGTCTCAAATAGCCCCACTGTCTCAAATAGCCCCACTTTACGGTATGTAGATAGAAGACGGTAGGTACTATCACATAAATTCCGGTTTTTTCGAAACTCAAAAAACTTTTTAGATTTTTTGGCTAATATATCCAAAAAAGCTTTTTTGATTTTTAGGGGTCAAAACTAAAAAAAAATTCAAAAATCCGAGATAGCAGTTTTGTAGCCCTGTCAATTCTAATTTCTACACCTTTTATGTCTTGATCATTTTTCTGTATCTTCATTCTTCAAAGCTGTAGGCCTGACAGGTCTTCTCATGAAGGTCTTTTTTCGGTCGAAAATGACAGAACATGACGTCATTCTGACGTCATTTATGGCCAACCTATCATAGCCTCTGGAAAATTTTTGGTCACATTGTGTAAAATTGATGTCCGGAGGGGTCCTGAAAGTTTGGTGGCGATATCTCCAGCCGTTTAGGAGATATCGACCGAAAAGGACAGGGGGGGGGGGGGCGCGTTTCGGCCCCCTACGGGGCGCGGCCCGGCGGGTTAACTTGACATAATGAGCTGACCTTGTAACCTGAGGTAAAAATTTCATGCGCAAAGTGAAACTGATGTATCATAACTTCATAAATTATACCAAGTTTCGTGAAGCTTTTCTTTACAACTGCAAAAAATGGCAGGTGTGGCCAAAAACATCCCACCTCTCCCAAGGGAAGGCTAAATGAAATGCTGAAATGGATTATTTTCAATATAATGCCAATGCAACTTATGTTATCCCACACCGTAGACAGTTTTTACCATTTCTTCACGTGCAAAGAGACAAAATTATTACCTAGATGTCGTGAAACTGATTTGTTAAACCTGTTAAATGTCTAGACAATTTACAAACTATTAACGTCTAGTAGATATTTGGTGTAGTCTGAAATATGTCGCATCATTTATATAAAATGTATTTTTTACCTTTAACCCGCGCCCTGCTGGGAGGGGAGGGGTGTTTGAACACCCCCTGCGTTTTTTTTGCGAATATCTCAGAAACGGCGGCGCGAAGCGCCGCCGTATTTGGCACACTTTATCCTACATCTTTTTTACATATGTTATGAAAATTTTAGACCCAGGTCAGTAGTCAGAGCACTTAACCACTTAAGCATCAGATAGAGACCGAGCGACTTTGAAACATTGACATCGCCGAATATCCAATCCCAATAGCCATTCATTATTGCTCTGATCCGTATTATTACTAGTCAAGGCATGAAAAGGCAAGTAACTCTAATATGAATATAAGGTATTCCACATAAATATTACTACTTTTATCACATTTTAGCACGTTTCTCACCTTCAATTTAACCGCGGCAGCCGGCGACGCAAATGTCGAACACGCGCCACATTGACAGTTAGTTTAAGGTTCGATGATTTGTGTCCGTCAAATAAACACCACATAAACACCAGCTATATAGTATGAACATCTAAGCAGCATTGGAACATCATTTGAGCGCCTTCATCCGATCCAAGGCCATATCAGGTTTTATATTTTACATAAAACCTGATCCAAGCACCCAATGCCATCTGGTCGGACAAAGGAGGACGCCAAAAACTATCCGAAAGTCAAGGCCAAGACCGACTTAACTGGCCTTCATTTTACTTTCACTTATATCTACCTACACGGCTTACATAGCCTTGATCTGCACCAAACGGCAAACATCTTACATTTTATCAAAAATAAATATTCATGAGTAAGCATCGACGCAGGCCAGGGGCCGCGCCAGGTTTTGGAGGGCTCACTGTAATTGACCTGAGAGCCGATAAGAGCTTCGATTTTCAAAGTTACGATGAAATCCTTGCAAGGCCTAGGAATCCACACTGGCTAGGGAAGGTGAATATAATCACCCATCTCCACTCACTGCAATGCCTATCAGCAGGTCGTTGCTGATGAGGACGGGTCGGTGGCGCTTGGTCTTGACCAGGGGGGTACGCTCCGGCTGTTTAGCATTATGAAAAATGGTGACAGACGTTTGTGGAGGATTGTCGACGAACTCTTGTTCCGTGAGCAGTACTTACACGCTAGCGGAAAATTCACCAATCAGCGCTCGGCGGTACTCGACGCTGATTGGTCCGACGCTCGTGACGAAATTGCGGGGGACCGCAGTTATTCTCTATGGACCCGAATAGGCTTTTGGATTTCGGAGGGGTTTCTTTAAAATTATATGCTGTTTCGAGCTGTTTTCGAGTTGAAATATATTTCTTATGACTGTTACCTATATAATGGCACCATAAAATCATGATTTTGATAAATATTACCCATGAAATATCGGCCGAAAAGACATGCTGTCATGGTACGGACTGCCCTGCGGCTGATGTGGGGTCCCTAATGCCAGCGTATGGTAATAATGGGGTGACGAAGGGTTATTGGAGACTCTTAGAGCCCCATCAGCATTCAGCATAGGGTCATCAGAGGCCGGGAACGTCCATCAGGGGTCTGAGTAGGCCTGTCATAGGGGCATACATGACACATCATGGCCCATGGGTCAATGTAGATCCATGGGGCCGTTGAAGGGCCATCATTGTTCAGCGTGGGCTCGCAATTACCTCTGATGGGCATATGCCGTGCCCCGATGGACTAACGCTGGCCCCTGATGAACCATCACCAGCCCCTGATAGGTCTACAAAGCCCACTGCTGGGTCTAAATTGGTCACTGATATGCCCAAATGGGCCACTGAGAAACCCGTACAACATCCCCTGACTGCACCTGCTGGACCAGTGCCGTCCTCTCATGGGCCCACCACAGCTCTTGAATGACCTTTTCAAGTCCCTTGAAGTGCCTTTATTGGCCTAAATGGCCCCTGATTGGCTTATGTGGTCCCTATTGGTCCTATATGGCCCCCATGAGCCCTCAACGTCCCTAGACGGCCTTACATTATATGTCACTGGGCCCTGTTGGGTCAGCACCGGCCCCTGATAGGCTTGCACTGGACCCACCGGGCCTATACCGACCCATGAAGGGCCTATGTCGAGCCCTCATGGGCCTCCGATGACCACACGCCGGCATGTGTGGCCCCATCAGCAGTGGTCCGTCTATCCCATGTACTTACGGTCTTTTTGGTCGATGTGACACCGGTAGTATATAGAAATGTTATGATTAAATGTCGTTATTACACAGTCAAAAGTCACAGAAAGAATATCCAAGCTCAAAAATGGCCTCAAACCCAACAAAAACTGGTATAAATCCCCTTCAAAAGCCGTAAGTCTATTAAACGCCATAGGGGAATAGCTGCAGTCCCCCGCAATTTCGTCACGAGCATCGGGCCAATCAGCGTTGAGTATTGCCGAACGCCGATTGGTCGATTTCCGCTAGCCTGTAAATGCTGCTTGCGGATATAGTTTTGAACAAAAGAGGGTCGCGGCTACTAATTATCGCTTGTCACCACTTTTTCGTCGGGAGCGTTCTACCTGGTTTAAGTCAAGGCCAAGACCGACTTAACTGGCCTTCATTTTACTTTCACTTATATCTACCTACACGGCTTACATAGCCTTGATCTGCACCAAACGGCAAACATCTTACATTTTATCAAAAATAAATATTCATGAGTAAGCATCGACGCAGGCCAGGGGCCGCGCCAGGTTTTGGAGGGCTCACTGTAATTGACCTGAGAGCCGATAAGAGCTTCGATTTTCAAAGTTACGATGAAATCCTTGCAAGGCCTAGGAATCCACACGGGCTAGGAAAGGTGAATATAAACACCCATCTCCACTCACTGCAATGCCTATCAGCAGGTCGTTGCTGATGAGGACGGGTCGGTGGCGCTTGGTCTTGACTGTTGTGCCCCTGCTCTGAGGGGGGGCTGAGGACCCCTGCGTCAGCCAGGTGGCCGCTTCTCGGCGCGCCTATCACGCCACCGTCAGCTGGCACCCCTCCCACGCGTATGCGGTTTCCCGGCGCTCGCTGCACCCGGCAGTCGTCACCACGCCTCACATCATCCGACCACTCCCGGGAAACGACTGTTACGTAAGCCGATGGGCTCCCGGCTGTATACAGAACCTGGTAACTAAGGTAACTAAGAAGTGGCGCCGTTCCCAGCCCCCCGCGGATCGGACCAAACATGGCGCAGGTTTATGACAACGACGCGACTATTCAGAGACACCCGAAAAAAGTTCATAGGCCACCAACAAAGATCCACCGATTGTTACAAAAAGTGATTCGGCTAGTCGAATGCTTAACCAGAAACCTTGAACCATAGTAGTATATATACGAAGGCATTGATTGCATTTTACTATATTATCATGCATGGCATTGCAGATCATTCGATGAGCTGACTTCGTACAAAGCAGGCACGGACTAGACTGTGCATGTCGCACGTTTGTATGTTTACATTCGGTATTCACCGGAATCAAACGCATTCTAAATTTCCTAGACAAAGACATCGTAAACAAGGCTACAGGACGTAAGCATGCCTATTCCAAAGGGCAGCGGTCATTTCATTAAATTATAAAAAAAAACCGACAGCTCACACGCGAGCATCATAGTTTGCATTATCATCACAACGATAGCCTGCAGCACAATGCTGCATTTTGCACATTGTACACAAATATTGTACAAAACTATAAGTAGGTATATAGTTGCCTCCGCGTAAAATCGTCATTTTCTCGCACAATCTTTGGCCACGTGACGAAATGGACGGCTTATAAGAAGGCGAGTTGCCTTGAAAATCTCACACGCGCACGCATGTATAAAAACCACACCCTCACAAGAGTCACGTCCAACCCGACGCGGTCGGCGACAGGGCGGCCCGTTCGCTGAGGCCTACCCACCCGGGACCGGTGGAGGAGACCCACCCCGGGTGAGGCCGGTACCGGCGGAGGCCCACCCGCGCGCGGCCGGTACCGGCGGAGGCCGGCGGCTGCCGTCCGGTCACGGCTTCTCCACGTTATCGAGGAACCACTGGGTGAATTTTCTCAGCTGACGCGCCGCCTGCCGGCTCTCCTCCTGCAGACGCTGGTTGTCCGAGCTCAGCTTCTGCACCTGGAGCACGCCGGGGTGACTGTCACAGTGCCGCCGTCAGAGGAGGGGGCAGCCGTTACCCATACGACGAACACTATTAGGGATGAATACGGATATCAGCTGACAAGGATATATTGAGTCTCTAGCCACGTCAAAGAGCTGGCATCCCGATAGAGGAAAATACAGCAAGCCTCGGGACTGATTCTCCCCGGTGACTGAGGCTGTGACTGATCCCTCCACTGCAGTGTCCCAAAATTATATTTTGGATTGGGTGTCTGAGGGGAATATTCGTCACTACAAAGAGGGCTGAAAGTGGACACTTCTCCGTCAGAATGGCACAAAAACGGAGCGGAAACAGGGCTCAACAATTTATTTGTGAATTTCTGAGGATGTGTGAGCTAATTTATAAGATAGGCGAATCCAATATGGAGGGAGAAAAAAGGTACACGCAGATGCTCTTTATTGGTAAAATAGTGAGCGAAAAATTGCACTGAAAATTGGAGGTGAGAGTGGAAAATTATTTTGATTTGGATGTCACTTCCCACCCAAACTGGCAAATTTTGGGACAAGTCCACTGGGACTGATCGTGTGACCGACCCTCCACTGGGACGGACCATGTGACTGATTCCTCGCTGTGACTGAGGTGTCTGACCTGCGACTGCAGCAGCTCGCGGCGGGTCTGCTCGTTCACCAGCTCGTTCTCCAGCGTGGTAAGGCGCGAGCGGAGCTCGTCAGAGGGTGACGGCGGAGCGGCTGATGCGGCCGAGCCGGCGGCGGGGGCGGGGGCGGCGGCAGGTGACGCCGTGTCCCCGGGCGGCGTCCTGCTGGCAAACGGAACACCACCTGTGTCACGGCCAATGCTAATCCTATGCGATAAAATCTCACCTTCGCATTCGGAACAATTTACCCATTTTATGCATTGAGTATTTCATCCAGTCACATGAGAATTGAGAGTCAGAACAGCGGACAAGTTCAGCATCATTCGCTTGCTTGAATAATAATCATCGGACTACAACATTTCGATAATCGACCGTCGACGCACGCTCCCGACTAAAATGCTACTGATGAACTGCCCCATTTTCAGGAACTGGCGTGAGCTGGGACCGGGTGGTTAGTGACCGCCGTGAGGACGGAGGTGAGCGGACGGCAGCAGGGACATGTGAGCAGAGGTGAGCGCCCGGAGGGGTGCGGTGAGCAGAGGTGAGCGCCCGGAGGGGTGCAGTGAGCGGAGGTGAGCGGCCTCACCTGCCAGCGGCCGGCCGCTGAGTGAGCACGGCCCGTGTGGCCGTGTCCACCAGAGTCTGCCAGTCGATCTGGGGGCCGTCCGACTCCGGGCTGGCGTCCAGCACGTGCGCCGGCCGAGCCGTGGTGAGCAGTACGTCCGTCTCGGCCGGCTGCGGCGGGCCGGCCGCCAGGTACGGCCCGCTGGAGGCGCGCCGGCCGGCCGGCGCCGCGCCGCGCGGGCTGCCCGCCTGACTGCGCCCGCTGCCGGAGGACGGCGTCGAGGCGTCGGCGCGCAGCCGGCGCCGCGCCGCCGGCGACAGGCTGTGCGCGCTCAGCTCGTCCTCGCTGCGGGAGGCGGGCGCGCCGCGGCGGCCGGCCGGCTCGGTGCTCTCCAGGCTCTGGTGGCTGCCGGCGCGCGGCCGCGGCCGGCCCAGCTCGGCCAGCGGCGCGGCGCTGGGCGGACGGCCACCCAGCTGGCTGCTGCTGCGCGAGTGGCCCAGCCGCGCGGGCAGCAGGCGCGGCGCCGCGCGGCCGCTCAGACACTGGTCGCTCTCGGCGTGGCTGAGGTGCGCCGAGCTGAGCCGCCCGGCGCTCAGGTCTGTGCTGCTCCGGCTGTTGGCGATTCGCCGGGGACCCGGGCCGCCCGGCCGCTTCGTGCGCACACTACCACCGCTGTGACCCGAGGGCTGGCTGCGGCCGGCCGCCTGCCGGGACGCCGCCTGCTGGCGGGCAGGCTGACCGGGCGCCGGGTCCCTCGGCGTCCCCCGGAGCCTCTGCTCTCCCTGATCCCTGGGCGCTCCCCGGACTCTCTGGTCGGCCTCCTCTCTGGACGGTCCCCGCAGTCTCTGCTCTCCTTCCTCTCTGGGCGCTCCCCGCAGTCTCTGCTCTCCTTCCTCTCTGGACCCAGCGCGGTGTCTCTGGTCGGCCTCCTCTCTAGCCCCAGCGCGGTGTCTCTGGTCGGCCTCCTCCCTCGGCGCTCCGCGGTGCCTCTGTTCCAGCGTGCCGTAGCCGGCGCCGCTGGTCCTCCGTCCCCCGGCCGCCGCTGGGTCGGACGGACCGCCGCCCGAGGACCGCCCGGGCGGCGCAGACGCGCCGGCGGCGGCCTGGGCGGGGGCGGGGGCGGGGGCGGCCGGCGAGCCTCGGTGGCCCGCCCGACCGTCCTGGGTGGCCGTGGACGTCCGCTGGCCCTGCGGGTCAGAGCGCCGCTGTCAGGGCGGCTGGGACACCGAACCCGGGGAGAGCTGCGGAGAGCTGCGGATAGCTCGCAGGCCACGCTCCGGGCCAACTCCTACCCATCAACCAGGGTGCACCGGATAGAGGAGAGAGAGAGAGAGAGAGAGAGAGAGAGAGAGAGAGAGAGAGAGAGAGAGAGAGAGAGAGAGAGAGAGAGAGAGAGAGAGAGAGAGAGAGAGAGAGAGAGAGAGAGAGAGAGAGAGAGAGAGAGAGAGAGAGAGAGAGAGAGAGAGAGAGAGAGAGAGAGAGAGAGAGAGAGAGAGAGAGAGAGAGAGCATTTATTCACACTGCAACAACATAAAATTCATAAATTACATAAGCAATTGGCGCAAAAGTGCTACGCACTTAACTCTTTGGCGCCGCTTGCAAGGAGGGACTAACGAACATACGAGACACTTCGCAGATATTCTATCACTGTCCGGCTTGCATGATGCTAATTTTACGACACAGTATGAGCGGATTCATACAAGGGGATGAATGTCCAACGTCATTACCCATTATGTTCGGTCCACACATCAGTTAACACATGAGCGCCGAACATGGCGCGCAGCCGTATTGCCTCACCGGAATGTAGATCTCCACGTCTGAGTCGGTGAGGTAGGTGGACTTTGAGTTGTCGTTCTTGGCTTCCATCAGAATGCCGCAGTTCATCGAGGCCAGTTCGATATAGGCGAACGTCTCCTGGCGCCCTCTCCGCTCCTGTCGAGCGGGTGGAGGGGGGGGGGGGGGGGGGAACGCGCGTTACAGTTGATACTGTTGGTAGTAGCAGGTCGTGCGTGCTACTTCAATAAGACACCAATGATTTTGTATGACAGCCGTGAACAGCAAGGATGTAAGAAATGAGGATCCTGAGCTATACCTATGTTTAATGCCAAACCACATGATCTGCCTTGTTTCAAAGCCTGCAGCGTATGCCATTTCACCGTGTAGACACAATTCCAGCCAAAACACGAATGCTTCCCGGCTTGTCTCGCCTCATTGCTGATCCCACTGCTCCATCAAACCCGTCCGACGCCCCATCACGCCCCGTCCCTCGGTCCCATCCCACCCGAATCCCCGTTCCCACTCCACCCGTCCCGCGGCGCACCTGCAGCGTCTCCAGAGCCCGCGGCTGCAGTCCGGCCGGCGCCGCGTAGTTGCTCGTCTGCCCGTCTAGGCTGCGCGCGGCTGGCAGTCGCTGTCGATGGCGCGCCGGCAGCGGCGGCGGCGGCGGCTCGGCCTCGTCGGCCCACCGCTCTGTGGAGCCGCTGGACGAGCTGCTGAGCGTGCCGCCGGCCTCCAGGGAGCCGGCGGCCAGCGCCGAGCGGCCGCTGCCGCCCGTGCCGTACCCAGAGCTGACGACAGACGGCGGCGGTGAGCCGGCGCGTCGGCCCGGCTCCGGCTCCGGGGCCGGCGCGCCGCAGGAGGGCAGCAGGCAGCCGCGGCGCGGCGCACCGTCCGCGCCCGGCGGCAGCACCACCAGCGACACGGGCACAGAGGTCTTCAGCAGGTCCACCATCTGGTCGTAGCTGGCCGAGCACACCGGCACTCGGCAGATCTGCGGACGACGGCGGGCGTCAGCTGGCCGCAGCCCGACACGGCGCACATAACCGCAGGTTGTTTCTTCATTGACAAACACTATTCGTTAGAATTGTGTTTTTCTATTGAAAAACAACCGGAGCGGTCCTTCTCCGGGCTATGTTTTGCATGGTTGGCAGCGAATCAGTACAACTTGATTGGGGCCTAAACGAATCGCTCAATCTTCGTAAAAAGTTCAGGGTATGAGCTCCCGCAGGCGATCTACCTGATGGCACCGGTCGCTACTCGCTCAGAATTCTTTTGCGTAACCGCAGGTTGTTTCTTCATTGACAAACACTATTCGTTAGAATTGTGTTTTTCTATTGAAAAACAACCGGAGCGGTCCTTCTCCGGGCTATGTTTTGCATGGTTGGCAGCGAATCAGTACAACTTGATTGGGGCCTAAACGAATCGCTCAATCTTCGTAAAAAGTTCAGGGTATGAGCTCCCGCAGGCGATCTACCTGATGGCACCGGTCGCTACTCGCTCAGAATTCTTTTGCGCGTGGCACGTGCGATTCCATTTTCCCCATGTTAAGTCAACGGGGTTTTGGACACTTTTTGCGCGATCGCGAATAGCGGAAAAAATCGCCGATCAAGGTAGGGTTTGCTGCACCCCATTTTATGACCGACACGTTCAGGTACACGCCCGTGGGCGCCGTATACCCGTCAGAATTCGTTAACTTGAGTTGCACGAGTTTGAAGTTGAACTTTTTTTGCTCCCCATGCTAAGTCAATGGACGTTTTTGCAGAGACATTTTCATTCGTTCATTGCACAAAATTATATGATACGATTTTGTTTAAACTTTCAGGACCTGTTGAGAAACGACCATAGAACATGTTGTTATGCTTCGTTATGAAATATAATGGCCCGTTTTGGGGTAATCGGCACGTGCATTTTCCCATAGGGTTAACATGGGAAAAAAATAAAATGCGATTTGCGAAAAATTTCGTCAATTATATTTGCTGATATTTTTAGGGTCGGATCTCGGGCTGGCACCCCAACTGACGGTGGTAACTACTTAAAATATAATTGACAAAATTTCGGGTAATCGTCACAAACAGTTACCCCATGTTGAGCCTATGGCGATTTCGAAAAATTATTTTCAAATCGATTTTGTCAAAAATTTCCACGTTAGATTTTGAAAATGTTCCAATATGTTGTGCCCCAGGGTGTCGGCTACCACATGGTATGGGTCAGATATGGGGCGATTGAAAAGCACGTGCCACGTGCAAACGTGTTTGATGGGGTAACCTCCGGGAAAATCCGACATTGGCCTACTCGGGGTCCTCTGGCGTGGAAACGACTTCAACTAGCGACACCAAATCAGTGCAGCCGGTGAGCAGATGAGTCCAGCTTGTCGCACTAGTGGTCACGTGTCGCACGTGCTATTGCACGTGCCGTGGCAGGGGGTCAATTTTGGTGCTTAAATATACTAGCATTGTGAAATGCAAGGAGTGAGGGAAATAGCCGTCAGGCCGTCAGTTTTTATGATAGGGTCGATCTGAAAACGGGTTTAGGCACAGAATGAAGACGTCTAAAAAACTGCTATCTCGGATTTTTTGTAAAATGAAAAATTTAAAATTCTGGGGAAGTTATATATTCGAAAGGTGAAATTTCCCTAAATTTTCCCGTTTTTCGAGTTTAGCCGTCCACTGTTCGGAGACGGTGACACCGGCCGGGGTCATCTTTTACATGCTGATGGCCACGTCGATGGGTCATCACGTGGCGTGAACGGTGAAGCTATCAGAGGTCCGGCACGTGCCACGTGGCCACGTGTTTGAGTCCCGTACCTCCCAGATTATCGTGTGTTTGCCGATTTGTGGCCTTATAGCACGAAAACAGCACAAGCCAGGAACACTGAAATGGTGCAATCAGCGAGCGGACAAGTCCTGCTTACACCACCGGCGGTCACGTGGCACACGTGCAAATTTGTGCACCTCCGTTGCGGAGATATTTTATAGTGAAATATTGAAATAAACATAACTTTGTCAGTTTAAGTCCAATTGGGCTAGATTTTAGTGGGTGGATAAAATTGTTAAGCGACAGGAACGAATGCGCCACGTTTGTTGCAGTGCGCCACGTTTGTCTCAAAGCGCCATTTTTGCCGCAAATCACAGAATGTGCCTAACTTTATCGAACATGGGACGATTAGGATGCGCTTTGATTGAGGGATGGCTGCTTAAACGGCAGATATGAATTCACCACACTTGCCGCAAGGCGCCATATTTGTCTTAATGCGTCAGTGTTTAGTTTAACGGACGGCGTGCGTTTTTTTTTTGCGGCAGTGTTTGTAGCACACCGACTCCCGTGTGCACGTGCAAGGCTCATCCCCTCGTTTGGCGGCGGGCGTTTTTGCTGCGTTTTCAAAGGTGCTTGCTCAAACAACCTGCGGTCCCGCGATGCGGAGCCCAGCATCGCAGATGCTGGTACCGCAGAGCGAGGTTAGCAGACACTCGACAAATTAGACGTGGACCACCCTGTAAAGGCCAGTGCTTAACAGCACACTAGCCAGCACTGTCCAAGCATACTGTCGTCAACACACCCGGGTCCGGTCCATATGCCGGACACCACCCTCACCACCACGATTCGGGCGCCCTGTCACCCTCACCCGGGCTCCCAGTCACCCTACTCCGGTCCGTGTGCCGTATTGGCGACCCTCACCTCCACGATTCGGGCGCCCTGACGAAGTCCGGCCTGCCAGGCGGGCCCGCCGCCCTCCACCTCCGTCACCAGGCCGTCGCTCTGCACGTGGAAGCCCAGCTGGCCCAGCTGGTTCCGGCGCAGCACCAGCTCCTGGAGAGGACGGCACCAGAGCGGCGTCACCAGACCGGTACATCACCAGACCAATGTTACCACGTCAGCACCGAGTGGCGATCACACAGATGCCATATCAACACGTCGTCACACTGTTTCATTGCCCTTTTACGAGGGCTCCCGTACCTGAGAGTCGCAGCCGGCGGGGAAGGGGAGGGGGAGGGGGCTCCCGTACCTGCGAGTCGCAGCCGGCGGTGACGGCGGCCAGTCGCGCGGCCATCTCCGCCAGCTCCTCCGTGTCCTGGGGCGTCTGTGGCCGCAGCACCACGCACTCGCCCTGGTGGTAGTACACCCGCAGGCTGAGGACAGAGGTCAGGTCAGGTCAGGTCAGGTCAGGTCAGGTCACAGCACCACACACTCGCCCTGGTGGTAGTACACCCGCAGGCTGAGGACAGAGGTCAGGTCAGGTCAGGTCAGGTCAGGTCAGGTCAGGTCACAGCACCACACACTCGCCCTAGTGGTAGCACACCCGCAGGCTGAGGACAGAGGTCAGGTCAGGTCAGGTCAGGTCACAGCACCACACACTCGCCCTAGTGGTAGCACACCCGCAGGCTGTCGAAAGGTCAGAGGTCAGCGCGCGCGAGGGTAGCAAATACGGGACATCTAGAGAGCACAACACATACCTACCTACAGTCCGTGTACAGGGCGGCCGGGCTGTGAGTCGCAGCCGGTAGCACCCCTCAGCTAGACCGGGGAAATGACATCGACAAATCCCACAGCGTACATCTGAGCAGACCATGCACCCCAGGAGTCGACTGATGAGACTCGAGGCACTCGATCCAGTAACGGTTCAGAAATCACACCGTCTCATAGCCCTAAAGGGTGCCACGCCGCCGGCACTGAACCACCGCCAGCGCGGCGCGCTATTGTCGCCGAGGAACGCCGCTCGTTAGAAGGGGGCTGTCAGCGGCATTGTGTAACGGCTCAGCTCCGTGTAAAAGGACACGGCGCGGACCAACACGGCGCGCGCTGTCGGGGCCGGCCGGTATCGGTCCATCTCGGACAGCCGGGCCGATGGTATCGGGCCGGCCGGCCGGCACGGCGGCCGCTCCACCGGTCCGTGCACGGAGGGGGTCGGTTGGTCCCTCACAGCCCAGCACTGCCGTCCAGTGCACACGGAGGGGTCAGTCGGTCCCCCACAGTCCAGCACTGCCGTCCAGTGCACAGTGCACACGGAGGGGGTCGGTCGGTCCCCCACAGTCTAGCGCTGCCGTCCAGTGCACACGGAGGGGGTCAGCCGGCCCCACACCGCCCAGTGCACACGGAGGGGGTCAGTCGGTCCCACACAGCCCAGTGCACACGGAGGGGGTCGGCCGGTCCCCCACAGCCCAGCGCTGCCGTCCAGTGCACACGGAGGGGGTCGGCCGGTCCCACACAGCCCAGTGCACACGGGGCGCTGACTCGCCCATTGTTGGCCCGGTAATGGTATGGTGTCCCGGGAGTCGAGTGGCACGGACCGAGCTGGGCAGACTGGGTGCGGCCCGCCGTCACAGGACAGGGGAAGGTGGGCTGCCGGTGTATCACCTGGTGCCCGATAGGTGGATACACCGCTGGACCAATCCTACAGACGCCGCAGGAAGGACAGGGGAGACTGGGGCGCCTGGCAGTATCCATTGCTGCAGATGTATGTCAGCAATAGAGGCTATCTTTCCCGGTGTTCGCGATAAACTGGAATGTCTCACTGCGAATTTCTTTGCGTCTGCATCACCTAGTGCCCCCAGTGCCCCCAGCGCCCAGCTCACCTGGTGCCCTGCAGGGTCTAGCCCAGGACGCTGGCGGCCTGAACTGGTGCCCCCTGGTGCCTGCGTTACCTGGTGCCCCTAGTGGCCCCTTACCTGGTGCCCTGCAGGGTCCAGCCCAAGACGCTAGCGGCCGGGGCCGCGAACAGCAGCCGATCGGTCCTCTCCTCAATTAGAACCACAGAGTCAGCAGAGATCCCCAGCACACAGTCCACCTGCGAGGGCGCAGGGAAAAGAAGTCAGAGCACGGTAAAACCCCAACACACGGTCATTCAGAACACAATCCACTTGAGGGCAAGGGATGGAGTCAGGGCATGATAAGGCCCAATTCACCATCGTCCACTATACAAACTATACAGTTATACTGTGCAATACACAATTAATCTAATGCTTATCCGCACCCACCGGGGGGGGGGGGGGGTGCCAGCAGTGTCCGTAACTGTCGGGAGGATGTGCCAATGAGGTGTCGCACCTGTCAGCGGGGGTGTCCGCGGTCCGCACTTGTCGGGATTCGGGAGGGAGTCCGCACCTGTCGGTAGGAAATCCGCACCTGTCGGGACTCGGAAGGAAGTCCGCACCTGTCGGGGAGAGATGTCCGAGAGGACGGGAGGAGGCAGAGTATATAGAAACAGGAGGAGTTGTCGTGTTTCGTACTCCACACTTTAGGAGGTCCGTGCATACGCCCCCGTCGTAAGGTGTATGTTTGGAAGGGTCCTTACTCTGTATACCTGTCGAGAGGAGCTCTGCTCGTCCGTACTTGTTGGGCCGGGGTCTGTGTTTGGGAGAGGGGGAGGGGGTCTATTCGTACGCAGCTGTCGGGCCGAGCTCTGCTCGTCGTTGGGTGTTGGGAGGTCTGTACCTGTCTGGCAGAGCTGGTGTCGAGGAGGGGGAGGGGTCCGTGCTCCGTACCTGTCCGGCGGAGGTCTGTGTTTGAGGGGGATTAGGGAGGTCCGTCCGTGCCTGTCTGACCAAGCTCTGTAATAAGGGAGGTCCGTCCGTACCTGTCTGACGGAGCTCTGTGCTGGGGAGGTCCGTCCGTACCTGTCTGACGGAGCTCTGTGTTTGGGGAGGCCCGTCCGTACCTGTCTGACTGAGCTCTGTGTGGGGGAGGTCCGTCCGTACCTGTCTGACGGAGCTCTGTGCTGAGGAGGTCCGTCCGTACCTGTCTGACGGAGCTCTGTGTTTGGGGAGGTCCGTCCGTACCTGTCTGACCGAGCTCTGTGTTTAGGGAGGTCCGTCCGTACCTGTCTGACCGAGCTCTGTACTGGGGAGGTCCGTCCGTACCTGTCTGACTGAGCTATGTGTGGGAGAGGTCTGTCCTGAAGGGATGATGTCTGTGTGGGGGAGGTCCGTCCGTACCTGTCTGACGGAGCTCTGTGTGGGGGAGGTCCGTCCGTATACCTGTAGGGACGATGTCTGTGTTGGGGGTTAGGGAGGTCCGTCCGTACCTGTCTGACCGAGCTCTGTGTGGGGGAGGTCCGTCCTGTAGGGATGATGTCTGTGTGGGGGAGGTCCGTCCTGTAGGGATGATGTCTGTGTGGGGGAGGTCCGTCCTGTAGGGATGCTGTCTGTGTGGGGGAGGTCCGTCCTGTAGGGATGGTGTCTGTACTGAGGAGGTCCGTCCTGTAGGGATGATGTCTGTGTGGGGAGGTCCGTCCTGTAGGGACGATGTCTGTACTGAGGAGGTCCGTCCGTACCTGTCTGACCGAGCTCTGTGTTTAGGGAGGACCGTCCTGTAGGGATGATGTCTGTACTGAGGAGGTCCGTCCGTACCTGTCGTGCCGGGGTCTGTGTGGGGGAGGTCCGTCCTGTAGGGATGATGTCTGTGTGGGGGAGGTCCGTCCTGTAGGGACGATGTCTGTGTGGGGGAGGTCCGTCCGTACCTGTCTGACCGAGCTCTGTGCTGGGGAGGTCTGTCCTGTAGGGATGATGTCTGTGTGGGGGAGGTCCGTCCTGTAGGGACGATGTCTGTGTGGGGGAGGTCCGTCCGTACCTGTCTGACCGAGCTCTGTGTTTAGGGAGGTCCGTCCTGTAGGGACGATGTCTGTACTGAGGAGGTCCGTCCGTACCTGTCTGACCGAGCTCTGTGTTTAGGGAGGTCCGTCCTGTAGGGATGATGTCTGTACTGAGGAGGTCCGTCCGTACCTGTCGTGCCGGGGTCTGTGTGGGGGAGGTCCGTCCTGTAGGGATGATGTCTGTGTGGGGGAGGTCCGTCCTGTAGGGACGATGTCTGTGTGGGGGAGGTCCGTCCGTACCTGGGGCATTCCATGATAGATCGACCAAAAATAAATAAAATTTACACCCTCATATTTTATTTTTTGCTTAAAATTGGTCTAATGGGTTGTGATGGGCGGGGAACCCAGCTGTGGCAAGGATTCTTTTCTTCGAACAACGGTTTCCGAGATATAGCCTCGGGCAGTTTCTGGAGGTCACACTGCAACCCTATGTTTGGCGGCTTATAACTCAGAAACTATTGGTTTTCTATGGTAAAAACTTTGTATGGTTCAACTCGCAATCAACCAACAAACGTTTTGGCTATCTCGGATTTTCGTTTTTTGAAAATTTTGATCACGTGACATCTTGACCTTTTTACGAAGAGTGACCTTGATATTATCCCAACTGAAAGTCGCAATTTTGTCTGATGACGATTAAAGTCTTATCAATTTTCATTCATATGCGCAAATAAAAAAGTGGCTTTCGGCCTGCGTTGACCTCAGGTCAGGTCATTTTTATGACCTTCCCATTATTACGAGCGGGAGCGACAGCGAGATCTCGAGAACAAAGCAAGATAGCGACAAGTGGTAAACGGCACAAAGTGCACATGGATCAGGTCTACAATTTTTACTCAGGTCATTTTCAGGTCAGGTCAAAGATGACGTCACAGGGGTAAAAAGAAAGTCTAAATGGCGGCACTACATATATATGAAGTTTTTCTCGAATAACTTTCAAAGTATCCCAGCTATGAACAAACTAATAGCACCATCGTGATCCTCTCGTCGATCCGCATCGAAACATGTGTATGTTGACCTCGAAAGGTCAAGGTCAAGAGTTGACCTTAGGTCACGTGACCTTAAGGTCATCATATATATCATTCGATAGGCCTTGACGAGCTGAATACAATGAGCCTATCCGCGCGGCTGTATCTCAAACCTGTAAGGAGTTATTAGCAAAAAAACATTTGGTGACCTTTAATGACGTCACATGACCCAAGAGCAATGTCACAGTTGACCAAGAGCAAAAAAGGTCTCAAGGTAGTCAAAGTTAGTCGTATATGAAGTCACTCATGGTATATTAGGCAATTCCGACGCGTTTTAGTGTAAAAACAAGGGAGCTGATTTTTCCCCAATTGACTTATAATGGGGTGGTCAAGAAATTGACCTGATCTTAGGTCATCGGTATTGAAATTCAAAAAGAACTGGCGCTAGGCGAAAGCAAACAGAATGGTGCCTGTTCCACGTCTCTTTCTTTATTAGATCAAAAGGTACAGCCAAAACTATTTTGACTTCCTTTTTACCCCTGTGACGTCATCTTTGACCTGACCTGAAAATGACCTCCGTAAAAATTGTAGACCTTATTCGTGTGAATCCTGTACCGTTTACCGGTTGTCGCTATCTTGCTTTATTCTCGAGATCTCGCGTCGCTCCCGCTCGTAATAATGGACAGGTCATAAAAATGACCTGACATGAGGTCAACGCAGGCCAAAAGCCACTTTTTTATTTGCGCATATGAATGACAATTGATAAGGCTTTAATCGTCATCAGACATAATTGCGACTTTCAGTTGGGAAAATATCAAGGTCACTCTTCGAAAAAAAGGTCAAGATGTCACGTGATCAAAATTTTCAAAAATCGAAAATCCGAGATAGCCAAAACGTTTGTTGGTTGATTGCGAGTTGAACCATATAAAGTTTTTACCATATAAAACCAATAGTTTCTGAGTTATAAGCCGCCAAACATAGGGTTGCAGCGTGACTTCCAGGAATTGCCTGAGGCTATATCTCGGAAACCGTTGTTCGAAGAAAAAATCCTTGGCACAGCTGGCTTCCCCGCCCATCACAACCCATTAGACCAATTTTAAGCAAAAAATGAAATATGAGGGTGTACGGCTTTGGTCGATCTATCGTGGAATGCCCCACCTGTCTGACCGAGCTCTGTGCTGGGGAGGTCTGTCCTGTAGGGATGATGTCTGTGTGGGGGAGGTCCGTCCTGTAGGGACGATGTCTGTGTGGGGGAGGTCCGTCCGTACCTGTCTGACGGAGCTCTGTAATTGGGGAGGTCCGTCCGTACCTGTCTGACGGAGCTCTGTAATTGGGGAGGTCCGTCCGTACGGGGACCCGCAGTTGCTACTGTACAGCGACCCTGAGTAAACTGTCCCAGCACCATCACAGGGAACAACGATAAGTTGTCAAAGGGCACGCACAGAAAACCTCAGCTGCTCTTGTACAGGGACCGGCAGTCGATATCAATGTAATCGGTGTTACTGGACAGGACAGACGGCTTGAGTTGGGGTTCGTGTACAGCAGCAACTGCGGGTCCCCGTACCTGTCTGACCGAGCTCTGTGCTGGGGAGGTCTGTCCTGAAGGGATCATGTCTGTACTGAGGAGGTCCGTCCGTACCTGTCTGACGGAGCTCTGTGCTGAGGAGGTCCGTCCGTATACCTGTAGGGACGATGTCTGTGTTGGGGGTTAGCGAGGTCCGTCCGTACCTGTCTGACGGAGCTGTGTGTTTAGGGAGGTCCGTCCGTACCTGTCTGACGGAGCTCTGTGTGGGGGAGGTCCGTCCGTATCTGTCTGACGGAGCTCTGTGTTGGGGAGGTCCGTCCTGTAGGGGTGATGTCTGTACTAAGGAGGTCCGTCCGTACCTGTCTGACGGAGCTCTGTGCTGGGGAGATCCGTCCTGTAGGGATGATGTCTGTGTGGGGGAGGTCCGTCCGTACCTGTCTGACGGAGCTCTGTGTTTGGGAGGTCCGTCCGTACCTGTCTGACGGAGCTCTGTAATTGGGGAGGTCCGTCCGTACCTGTCTGACGGAGCTCTGTGCTGGGGAGGTCCGTCCGTACCTGTCTGACGGAGCTCTGTGTTTAGGGAGGTCCGTCCGTACCTGTCTGACGGAGCTCTGTGCTGGGGAGGTCCGTCCGTACCTGTCTGACGGAGCTCTGTAATTGGGGAGGGCCGTCCGTACCTGTCTGACGGAGCTCTCTGTGGGGGAGGTCCGTATACCTGTAGGGATGATGTCTGTACTGAGGAGGTCCGTCCGTCCGTACCTGTCTGACCGAGCTCTGCTCGTCGGCCACCACCTGCCAACAGATGGCGCCCCGCTGCACGGCGTCCGGCCGGAACCGCGGCCGCGGACGGTCCTTCTTACGACTGCCGAACGACATAATCGCTGCCGGACACAAACGGGACGCGCCGCCGAGTCAGGGTGGGGTGGGTGGGGAACACACTGAGGTCAGGGTGGGGTCATTGCCGCACACATTTAGTTACATAGGGTTTGGCTGCCAAGGAACGTAGACACTAGCATCAACCACCGGCCAATTTCACAAAAGGGCGTAAAATATGACATTTCCCATCCATTTGGTTAAATTGTACGCCCAAACAGTTTCATAAAAGAATTGTGGATGCAACCATATGACGTTATATACTATGATTTAAGTACCAATGCAATAAAATAGTCCTAAACAAACGGACATGTACTGGTGGCGCATGTTGCGCTCTTTGCTCATAACAAAACCACCCATTGCTAGAGGGTGGAGTTTCTTACGGCGTAAAATAGACCTTATTGTACAACACTTCCAAGCTCTTAGAGAGTCGTGAGAATCTTGAGAGTCACTCACAGAACTTCTGCGGCGGGTCGAGCGTCTGCTCGGTCAGGTAATTGGTGGCCAGGTCCTTCAGGTACTCGTTTCGGGTCCGCTTGGCCATCGTCATAAACTTCTCCGAGTGGTAGGCGGCGTTCTCGGCGTTGATCACTGCAACAACGAACGGACTGAGGTGAGCGACACTGCGGGCGAATAGCACCGGTGTGACGGGTGGCTAACCACTGCTGGAAGAGTCGTTAGACAGGACAGAATGCATGGATGGAAGGAAAGGCAAGGAAGAAAAGAGCCTCTCTAAAAGAGAAATATAAATATTCTGGACATACAAATGTTCGATAGACGACTAAACATACATAAACACTAAAGTATCTACAATTTTAGCACAGCAGGATTACAATTAAAAAGTTCAGGTAGGTACTGGGGAGCGCAGTTCACGAAACAAATCGCACTGCCAAAATATGTCAGAACTATAAATATGCCCGACGCTGAAGCTTGCACGTTCAAATATCGGCGGCGCCCGGCCGGTGCGGGCGGAGCGTAGCGGCCACATCAGAGGTTTCCGCCGCCCGGCGCGGGCCAGACAGTCGCGTCCGCCGACCGGCGCCCCCCCCCCCCCCGACAGCGTGCACCACTCACTGGTCGTATACCAGCGGCCCAGACTGCAGCGGACACCGTCCCACACCGTATAACGACGCCCGCCTCCGCGGCCGGGGCGGACAGAGCGGTCCACTAGTCGTCTTTCCGATATACCGTACCGACTGCGGCAATCGACCGGCCCGTGCTTGCAAAGCAAATCAGCCTAGCTTTGGCGATGCGAGATAATATGGTTATCATGCATGCATCATTTGAGCTTTGCTAAACATTTCCACAACTTCCGTGATGGTTATCGTTATCACCTTATTCGAGTCAAAATCGTTAGTAGGTACTTACACGTTAAATATGTATGGAGTTAGGTAATCACGCACTGTGTTGATTTTTTTTTTTTTTTTTTTTACTGGGTAGTGAACGGTTCTTCGTCTAATCATTCAATCGCACATGAATTTATAACATTAGGCGAGGAAGCAGCGCGGTGCTTCATTAGTTTAGAATGTGAAATTGAAGTATTGATGAACTTATTTCAGCAACGCCAATCCGTACCAGTTTTTTGGGACAGAACTACATAGAGCGCCAGTGATAATATCGCCGTGATGAGCTCACCTTTGGCGTACAGGAACTCGGCGAAGGCCTGCGACTTTGAGAAGGTGGCCGATTCGGGGATGGGCGGTCCGAACGCGGGCACGTCCCGAAATCGGTTCACAGCCACACTGCCGGTCAGACGGGGACAGATAGAGGTCAGATAGAGGTCAGACAGGCCGAGACAGAGGTCAGACGGTCCATCCCGCCATTACAGATATGCGTATCCGTCATGCGTAGGTACTAGGTAGTAGGTAGCGACCCGCGCGCAGTGTGGTTACAGTTGACCGATTAAGGAATGACCCGTGCGCAGCGTTGTGCGCAGTGCTCCACTCGTCGAGCGGTCTCAGAGCCCAGTGTGTACACTGTACCTGTACTGTGTGTTCTCGGAGCACGGGTTCAGTGCTCGCACTACAATGAACACGTGCTGGAACTGTGAGCGGATGTGTTTGGGTGTGAACGGCAGCGCGCCCGGCTCCTGGAAGACGATGGTGACGATGTCGTTGCCAATGTAGCGCTTCCTCAGCAGCTGTGGAACAGGCAGAGGGTGGGGAGCGGTCAGGCACAGGTCGACTCGGCCGGCCCGACGGCTACACACGTGACGGGACAGTCAGAGGAGGTCACAACAGACACAGCAGTGGCACATGTACCACTGCTGTGTCTGGGCAGGGTCACCCTGAGGTCACACCGGACACAGGGTCACCCAGAGGTCACAGTACCGGACACAGGGTCACAAAGAGGTCACACCGGACACAGGGTCACCCTGAGGTCACAGTACCGGGCACAGGGTCACCCAGAGGTCACAGTACCGGACACAGGGTCACCCAGAGGTCACAGTACCAGACACAGGGTCACCCAGAGGTCACAGTACCGGACACAGGGTCAGCCAGAGGTCACACCGGACACAGGGTCACCCAGAGGTCACACCGGGCACAGGGTCACCCAGAGGTCACAGTACCGGACACAGGGTCACCCAGAGGTCACACCGGACACAGGGTCACCCTGAGGTCACAGTACCGGACAAAGGGTCACCCAGATATCACACCGGGCACAGGGTCACCCAGAGGTCACACCGGGCAGAGCAGTGGCACAGAGTCACCCAGAGGTCATAGTAACGGGCAGAAGGTCACCCAGAGGTCACAGTACCCGACACAGGGTCACCCGGAGGTCACAGTACCGGGCACAGGGTCAGCCAGAGGTCACAGTACCGGACACAGGGTCACCCAGAGGTCACAGTACCGGACACAGGGTCACCCAGAGGTCACAGTACCGGACACAGGGTCACCCAGAGGTCACAGTACCGGACACAGGGTCACCCAGAGGTCACAGTACCGGACACAGTAGTGGCACAGGGTCACCCAGAGGTCACAGTACCGGACACAGCAGTGGTACCGGACCACTCAGAGGTCACAGTACCGGACACAGGGTGACCCGGAGGTCACACCGGATACAGGGTCGCCCAGATATCACAGTAACGGACACAGTACCGGACACAGCAGTGGTACAGGGTGACCCAGAGGTCACACTGGACACAGTGGTGGTACAGGGTCACCCAGATATCACAGCGGACACAGTAGTGGTACCGGACCACTCAGAGGCTACACCATACGCCGCCAAAGGTGCAGTGTCAATCTGGGGTCACATCGGACACGTTGGCACCGCAGAGGCAATGGGAAGTCACGACAGACGCGAAGTAACCGTCCGTGGCCGTAGAGTGCGCCGGGTTACGTCAAAGAGGGGCGCATCACCACACGTCTATGAATAGTTGTTTCGCGGAGGCAGCGCCGCCCGGCCCAGTGCGGCTGTGCTGACGGGCCCAGCGAGCGGCGCCTGCGGCCGGTGGCAGGGGGCACCGCTTCCCGGAGGGAGCGCTCGATCAGTAATCACGGCGGAGGTTCCGGGAAAGTTGAACTGTAGACACAACACCGGCCGGCCCCCAATCGACCGCACTGCTGAAGGCACCCCAGCTGATCCGTTAAAGACCTATCACAGCCGACAGAGACACCGCAGCTGGACTACCGCAGGTGACCTACCGCAGTGGTACCGGCTCCCCAGCCGGACTGTCGGTGACCTACCGCAGTGGCAGCGGTACCCCAGCCGGACTACCGGTGACCTAGTGACGGGGAAACCACAGCCGACCCATCGCTGACCTAGCCACCAATACAGGGTAGCCCCCACTGGATTATCCGCGGTGAGCTAGTCGAACAAGGGTTGTAACCATTCCATATGCCTTCACTCGCGGCTGTGCAGATGTTGTGCTATGGGTCTGACAATAAGCGCCCGAAGGTACTAAGTCCTTGCCTACGATCAGTAGTTATAGCCTTTACCGTTGTCGCCCTGCTCCAACATTAGGTTGTCACTGCGCAGGCATTGCAGCCTCGCCCCGCGCCCAGCCCGGTGTGATCAATGCGCTGGTATATCACCGTACATACCTGCCCGTTGTCTCACCTGTTGTCTGTTGTTGGGCGAGTACTGGAGCAGAGTGGAGACGTGGAACATGATCTCGTTACCCTGGTGTTTGACGTACACAGAATACTCCCCGGTAGAGTCGGCTGGAACCAGAGAGACAGAGGTTACTCACAGTATATATGTACTCGTATGGTACACAGCCAGCTAACGACCTTCCTAGAGATCAGATCAGCGAGTCAGATATATGCTTATAACACACGTACCAGTAACATCCATATTCTACTGATCTGATACATCCATACTAAATAATGAGCGTCATTTTGTTGACGTTAATACGGAACACATCAATTATAAGCTTCTACACTTCTAGCATCAAAACAGTGAACATCGTAAACGATTCGCCACAGCCCTATTCCACTGGAGGCTCACTTTTGTTGTCGAGTCCCGCTTTGTACTTGTCGAAGCCCTTGAGTCTGACGCGCTGTCCGAGCATGCCGAGGAACTCATCGAGCGCCGGTCCCGACTGCTCGTTGTTGTACATCTCCTCCTCAGTGCTCTGGCCGGCCCGGCAGTACATGATGCCCACCTGGGGGGCAGAGAGCAGTCATATCAGTACATGATGCCCACCTGGGGGACGGAGAGCAGGCATATCAGTACATGATGCCCACCTGGGGGACGGAGGGCAGGCATATCAGTACATGATGCCCACCTGGGGACAGGGAGCAGGCATATCAGTACAGGGTGCCCACCTGGGGGACAGGGAGCAGGCATATCAGTACATGATGCCCACCTGGGGGGACGGAGAGCAGGCATATCGGTACAGGGTGCCCACCTGGGGCACACGGTAGCCAGCACCAACCCGGGGAGGGAGCAGTTCATTACGCAGGTGCTTGAAGGGTGAGTCATGTTTGAGTTTGAATCTGACTAAACGTGTGCTAGGGAACCTATTTAAGTTATTTGACAAATGAGAATGAAAAAATCGTAAATAAACGTGTGTGGCGCAAAGTGGCAAAAACATTTCGTTTATCTGAAACATAACTGCGGATATAATTTCCGTAAAGCCTAGCGATCGGCCTCACCTTGTAGCGGTTGAAGATGTACTGTTCGTCGAGCTTCATCAGGTAGTCCTCGGTGCGTGGCTCAGCCACGGCCAACCGCAAGCTGGAAACGAACGGTCACCCTGTCAGCACATGGCCAAAACCTGCTGTATTGCTCTGTACCTACTGTCGGTCGACGATTGGTTATAAAAAAAAACATAAATAAATAAAAACATAAAACACGTGATCATAAAAGCACAAAACAACAAGGTAAAAGTGAAGCGCATACGACAGTGTAGTGACTCAAAGGTGAAATGTGCAATGTTTTAATGCAGTGTCAGCAGTATTTCACCTTTCCTTCATTTTGTGACGTTTCTACGTTTAGGTATGACTATACGCATAGATAAGTCTCCTCCTGTTCAAATGACCGCTATTTGTTTCGAAGACTCTCAGATGATGTCAAGCAGCCGAGGGGGGGGGGGGGGGAGGGAGGGGAGTCCGAGGTCCCCGGCAGGGAGGGGAGGGGATCTAACAGCAGGGGAGGAGTGGTCCAAGGACCCCGGGCGACGGGGGTCGATACGGACGGCGCCCGGCCCTCCGACTCGCCCGGCTCTCTGGCCCGGCTTTCTGAGTTGCTCGGCTCTCCCGACTCGCTATACCGCCCAGCGGGCTCTGCCGCTGCCGGCTCCGACACCCTACACTTCCGGTACTGAGCACACCAGCCTCTCAGATATATAACTACCTTTTAGGTGTGTGCATGTGGTGATAAGCAGGGGTCTAAGGTGCTACGGCAACCCCGATGGATGGTCAATATTATTCGCAGATAAAAATTCAGCAGCCAGCATTTCACCAATACAAAAGACAGCAGCAGGATGCAGCAGGTCTTCCCGAAGTAAACCCCGTTCTCCGTCGTCTTCAGTGCAGATCGGCAAACCGAGGCCGAGCAGTTCCGGTCGGCCGGGTCGGTAGGTACGGGCCAGAGTAGGACGGGCGGTCCCTCTCCCCCGCCACCTCCCCCTACCCTCCCACTCCACCCGTACGACGGCTCAGAGCCAGTCATCAATCAGTAAACCGTCCCCTCTATCCGGAACACATTAGCCGACTGATAGCAGAAACCCGAGCACTCCGTCAAACTCTCCCACACAGTCGAAACAAATCATTCGAAGCAGGTTTCTTATCAATGTGCTCATTGTAACTTTTTTGGTGACCTAATCAGCAGATTGCGACACTTTCTGAATAGGTGTGCGGTCGTCTCCTTCCATCCACCTTCATCGTCTTCCCGACACTGTATTTTAGTCGCTCTTTCGGGCGGGTGGGCCACTGTGCGTCCCGGGTGGGGCGCGTGCGTCCGTTGGGGACGGGGGCGGCGCTGTCCCCTCCCTCCCCTGGCGCCGAGCCGCGCATCAATGGGACGGCCGCCTCGTAACACCCCATCAATACACGGCGGCGGCGGTATGAATGACGGCGGCGGCGGGGGCGGCACGGCGCACTGTGGCAAAACCGGCCAACTCCACGGCCAAATAAATACGCTGAGACGGTGACATGACGCCCATGGAAAAACCAGCAAACACTCGGTGCATAATTTTCGCAACATTGGTGGTTTAAACAGGCCCGCTCCACCTTCTGCGTTTTAAACGGTGGTGCTATGAACCGCCCGCTGCCGGTGTCGGGGGCTCCGGACCGCGCCGCGCCGCCTGGTGCGCCTCCCCGTGCCCGCGCATCGGCCGGCGGCGAGTCATGCGCGCCGTGCACAGTGCACTAGTGCAGGGCGCCGGCGGGCCGCAGCCGGATGCCGGTGCAACACGGGCGGCGGCGAGGACCGTTACCTCACCGGCCGGTCGGGCCAGGCGGCGGGCGGCCCAACACCTTGGCAGGCCGGCCGTCCACACAGCCCCACACAGGCCGCATTGTCATACCGAGCGGGCGGCGAGCGACCACCTCGGAACCGTCGCACAGAAGGCGCTGTGACGGGCAGGGCTGTCGGAAAGACGGCGGGTGCGCGGAGGACCCCATGTGACCCTGATCCGAGTGCTGAGCATAGTTGCTCTAAATTCATTCCTCCCACCGAAATTGTCTATTTTTACGGGGATCGGTGAATAATTGCATCGTCCGCCACGTTACAGTTTGGGTACATTTCAACATGGAAAAGGTCACCTTCATATAAAATGCTAGCGATAAGAAGTATCGTTCAGTGAGGCAATAAAAACATCCTCCCAGTGACACAGCTTACACCGATGTCAGTTTGCAGTGTTAATTAGCTATTGCACTGTCAATGTCAATTAGCAAAGCTCCTGCTGACAGCTCGGAAATCACCAGTTGTTTTGTAGCTCGGGACCGCTAACATTCGGAACTGACAAGGCGTATTGTAGCCCAGGCTCTAAACTCCCCATATGTACTATTACATAGCTCAGCCTTTGAATTCACCAGTTGTACTACAGCTCAAAGCTCACCAGTGGCCAGGATCTTGAAAAGGGGGAGGCCAAACCTGCTCAAGGGGCCCCACCCTTACCTTAGGGGCCCCAGTAGTGGCGTACTTATGCCACGCCCAGGTGCGGTTCTTTGCCACTTTCATGTGAGGAAGTCTTTTTAGGCACACTCGCCAATATAAAAAAGAAAAGAAACGTGAAAAAGCCATCGACATCGATAGCTCTGTATGTAGTGTACAATCTATTTCAGCAGTAGGACAGTTTTTTTTTTTTTTTGCTTTGGTCGTCGCCGGGGCCACTAAAGATTATCAAAAGCAAAATGTTTTGTCAATTTTTTTTACGGTTGTAACATTTTTCAAGGGGCAGATGTCAATATCTTTTCTTAGTGTCTTGCGCTGGTTGAGGGTTGCGCTGATACCCTGAACTTTAGAAGGGCCCGACTCGGGTTGAGCTCTGGTCTAGACTCTGATGGCTCTATGTCGCCCACATTGGCCTCACTCCGACCTCTGAAGGCTCATTCTGGCCTCTGAAGGTCCCACACCGGCAACAGAGTGAACCACGCTGGCCTCCGGCCGCAGTGGCGGGCGGAATAGGGGGTGCAGGGGGTGCAGCTGCACCCCCATAGAAAAACATGGGGTGCAAACATATCTTTTTGCACCCCCAAAATCCGTACAAGGGGCCCGTCGCACCATCCAATACATTTTCTCCTGAAAACCAGTGATCGGGAAACGAACACTGATGTGGAATCATCCGAGATGTCCAATTATGGTCAGGAGCGCCCCATGCTAGTCTTTGGGGCCCCCACACCGGCTAGAAGTGTTCCGAGCCGCGTTTGGTGCTCCATGCGGCATCTGAGGGCCCCCAGACGGCCTCAGAGGGCCCTTTTATGACGATCTCTGAGGGCTCCCACGACGACCTCTGTCCCCTGGGGCTCTACAACGGCCACTAAGGACCCTCATGACGACCGCTGAGGGTTCCACAGAGACTCCAGGGGCCACAATGGCCTCTGAGGGCCCCTATGACGGCCTCTGAGGGCCCTTACGATTATCTCTGAGGGCTCTCACGACGACCTCTGTCACCTGGGGCCCTATAACGACCACTAAGGGCCCTCGTGACGACCGCTGAGGGTCCCACAGGACTCCAGGGGCCCCGCTGGCCTCTGAGGGCCTCTACGACGGTCTCTGAGGGCCCTCGTGACGGCTCTAGACCCAACTCAAGTCCGAGGGCCCATTTGGCTTCAAACGGCCCAGCGACGGCCTCTGAGGGCCCCAACACAAACAGGCTGCAGGGGCTATGCTGGCATCTGAGGGCCCTGGAACGGTCTATTGAGGGCCCTAACAATGGCCTCTAGCGGTCTTACCAAGGCCTCTGAGAGCCCTGAAAAGGCATCTGAGGGCCCATGAAGACCCTCACTATGGCCAATGACCCTCATGACGACCTCTGATCATCAATGATCCTCTCGAAGGCTTCTAAGGGCCCTCACAGCAACTTCTGAGGACCTCAGGACGGTCCCTGAGGGGCTGAGGGCCCTGACGACGACCTCTGTGGGCCCTCAAGATAGTCTCTAAGACCCAACGCAAGCTCCAAAGACCCACGCTGGGCCGTCTGAGGGCCCCACGACGGCCTCTGAGGGCCTTGACGCAGGCAGGCTCCAGGGGCTATGCTGACCGCTGAGGGCCCGGCTTCTAGGGTCTAACGCAGGCTTCAAGGGCCAACGCCGGCCTCTGAAGAGCCCTACGACGGCCTCGGAGGGTCTCAACTCAACGCAGGCAGGTGCCAGGAGACATGCTGGTTGCTGGCCTCTGAGGGCCCCGCAGAGTTCAGATTCAGAGGACCTTTTTGGACCTTACGAAATACGAAGGTCTCCGAGAGCTCACGCAGGCTCCTGGAATTCCACACTGATTCTCAGGCTCCATGTCGGCTTGTTGAGGCACTTTATCTGCTCTTGAGTCTTGGTGCCCCGTCGCCGGCCTCTGAGAGTCTCAATTTCGGAACTTATGGGGCCATGGGTCCTACAACGGCTTTTATGGCCCCTACATCGACTCTTGGGACTCATGACCCATGAAATGTGGGTCTAAGCGGCTTCTAAGAATCCCCATGCTGGTTCTAGTAGCCACCAGCCGAATATTTGGGCTCACACGCGAGCTCCTGGGATCCCGTGCATACCCCAGGGGTCTATCTGCCTCTAAGACCCCACACATACTTTTGGGGCTCAAACGCTTGCCCCTGAAGGCCCCACTGAGACCCCTTTCCTCTGTTCAGTCCTCCATACCGGCTCTCTTTAGGCTAAGCATCGGCTCGTGTGGCCTCCATCCCGGCTTTGGAGGGCCTCCATACAGGCTTTTTTAGGGTCCGATGCCGGTTCCTGAGAGCCCTAAAAAGACTTTCGAGCCTATACTGCCTTCTGAAACCTTTCAGCAACTTTCAAGGGACCGACCCTGATCGGAGGGCTCATTCAGTCTGGGGAGTCATGTAGGTCTCTGGAGGATTCTCTATGTGGTCGGTTTCCAAGGGGGCCGGGCTTCTAAACACGGTCTTCTTGGAACGGCCTCGTAAGTCGTAGGGCCCTCAATGGTCCACCGCGGATCCAGAAAGTGGTTTGAGACGCTGCGGGTGGTGGCTAGACTAAAAGATTAGCCGATAAAAAAAAACTAGCTGCATTGGCTTCTGTACGCTTTCATCATTTGAGATAGGTAGATACACTGCAATTTCAAACCTTTTACAGAACTTGTGTGACGTGTGTATGGGGTTAGTTTTCCAAAATCTTCGTTTTTTATAAATCAATAATAATCACTCAAAAAGAAAAAATTGAAGGGGGCCCAAAACTTCCAGAGGGGCCCCTTGAGAAAACTTTGCACCCCCATCCAAAATTACCTTCCGCCGCCACTGCCTCCGGGCCCCGTAATGGCCTTAGGAGGAGACCCATGCTATGGCTGACCTCATAGCCCCCCCCCCCCGCTGGCTCTGGGAAGTCTTTGAGTCAGTCTGACGACCCACGCCCCACGAGGGCCCCACGCTGGCCTTAGAGGGCTTAGCGCTGGCTCCTTAGGGCTCTACACCAGCGTCAAAGGATCCCACGCTCGAGTCTAAGCTTCTTTATGGCCGCCAAAGCGACATCTAAGGGCCCACGCTAGCCCCTGGGGGCTCGGCCTTGGCCTCTGAGGGCCTATGAGGGCCATCAATGGCATTTTAAGATAGTTTGACGCAGTTTGACTTTATTTATGCTTGGGCCAGTACTTTGGATGAGGCCCTGAAGGTCGTTTCTCTTGGGACACTCAAGCAGGCACGTACCCAGGATTTCGCCCAGGAGGGGGCCGCCTGCTCTCAAAGGGGCCCACGGGTCACCCGGATGCCGCTGTCAACCCAGGCAGGGGCGTATCCAGAGCCCTTCGATGAGGGGATTGGGCACATGCTGGGTCCGGTTCCCCCTTGCAGATGGGCCCTTCTGTCTGTCTGTCTGTCTGTCTGTCTGTCTGTCTGTCTGTCTGTCTGTCTGTCTGTCTAAGCCCCGAGAAAATGTCCAAAATTGGCAGGTAAAAATATCATTTTTTTTTTGCTTGAGAAGTGTGCATAAAATGCACGATATTTTATGAGGAAGTGAAGCGAGCGAGCGCCTCAGAGTCACCTGTAGTCTGAGTCACCCTCAGAGGTGTCGGTGAAAGGCCGTCGGATGCGCTGGTGTGGGGTCCTCACAGGCGCCGTTGTGAGGGCCTTATGGGCTCAGAGACACTGGTGGGGGCCATCACTTAGGCGTGTGTGGGGCCCTGAAAGTTACTGGTGGTCCTTCATAGGCCGGCAAGGGACCCTCAGAGGTCGGTAAGAGGCCCCCAGAGTCGCTGGTAAGTGACCGTCAGATGCATAGGGCGCTGCATAGGGCCCTCAGAGGTGCCGGTGTGGGGCTCTTAGAGCCGCCGAAGTAGGCACTGGTGCTAAGAGGCACTGGTGTGGGGCCCTTAGAGGTGGCAGTGGAGGCCCTCGCAGGCGCCGTTGTGAGGGCCCTCAGAAACACCGGTGTGGGCCGTGGGGCCATAGCATTTAGTAAACGGGTATGGGGCCCTTACAGCTGATCCCTTATTGGCCGGCAAGAGCACTCAGGGCCGGCAAGGTCCCTCAGAACCTGGCGTGAGGCCCTTCTGGAGATAAGTGTGGCTACACAAGAGCTCATGGGGTGTTCTCACAAGCCCTGTGGTCTCCTTTCCAGTTGAAGCGTTGCCAGCGCGGGCCCTCTGCCGCCAATTGGCACCGCAGGGCCTTTTCGGGCCCGAGGTGACCCTGAACCCTATAACGGAGACGTGCCCCCTTGCCCCTGGCCATACCATTGAATCTGAGTGATCACGGACCGTTCAGGTAATCAGGGGCCTCTCAGGTGACCAGGGGCCTTACAATTGACCAGGGCCTTTCAATTGACCAGGGTTCTTTCAATTGACCAGGGCCTTCCAGGTGACCAGGGGACCCTCTGATAACCAGGGGACGGTTATACCAGGGGCTCCACGGGTAACTAAGGGCCTTTATGTGACTGCAAGGGCCCTTCATATAACCAGGTACCTACTCCCGGGTAAACATGGGCACTTCAGGTGACCAGGGTTGCTTCAGATCACTGGCCAGGGGATCAGGGGCCCTTCAGGTAGTTAGGGGCCCCTTAGATAACTAGGGCCCCTCAGGTAACCAGGGGCCCTCATATACCAAGAGGCCCCACTGGTAACCAGGGGCCTCTCAGATAATCAGGGGCTCTCAGGCAATCACGGGCCCCTTAGGTAAGCAGGGGCCCCTCAGGTAAGCAGGGCCCTCAGGAAACCAGGGGCCCCTCAGGTAACCATGGCCCCTCAGATAACCAGGGCCCCCGTAGCCAGGGGCCCCTCAGGAAACTAGGAGTCCTTCAGATAACCAGGGACCAATCAGGTAACCAGGCCCCCTCAGATAACCAGGGGCCCTCAGATAACCAGGGGCCACTCAGGTAACCAGGGCCCCTCAGATAACCAGGGGCCCCTCAGATAACCAGGGACCCTCAGACGACCAGGGGGACCCTCAGGTAAGCAGGGCGCCCCTCAGGGCCCCCATTGCCCCCCTTGGGTACGTCACTGCACTCAAGTAACCCAAAGGGCCCACTTGCATGTTTATTGCCAAAGGGGGAGGCCATGGCCTCTTGGCCTCCCCCCTGGATACGCCACTGAAGCTCACCAGTTGTACTGCAGCTCTGAACTCACCAGTTGCAGTGCAGCTAGGACTCTGAACTCACCACTGTTGTACCTACTGCAGCTGTACTGCAGCTCTGAACTCAACAGTTACACTGTAGCTCAGGCTCCAAACTCACCAGTTGTACTGCAGCTCGGGCTCGGAATTCACCGGTGGTAATGCAGCTCGGATTCTGAACTACTCACCGGCTGCTGTATCGCAGCTCGGGCTCTGAATTCACCAGTTGTACTGCAGCTCTGAACTCACCAGCTGTACTGTAGGTCGGGCTCCGAACTCACCAGTTGTACTGCAGCTCTCACTCGGAACTCACCAGTTTTACTGTAGCTCTCACTCGGAACTCACCAGTTGTACTGCAGCTCGGGCGCCACGTGGTCGAGGATCTCACGAACCGGCAGTCGCTTCAGCTTCTCGCTGGGCTTGATCAGGGGGAACAGCGACTCCTCCAGGATCAGGCCGCGCAGTGTCGGCAGCTGCCGGGTCAGGCGGGGTCACAGGTCAGCGTCGGGGGTCAGGCGGGGTCACAGGTCAGTGCTGCCAGGTCAGGCGGGGTCACAGGTCAGCGTCGGGGGTCAGGTGGGGTCACAGGTCAGCGTCGGCACCTGCCGGGTCAGACGGGGTCACAGGTCAGACGAGGTCAGGTCAGTGTCGGCAACTGCCAGCGTCAGGCGGGGTCACAGGTCAGCGTCGGCAGCTGCCGGCGTCAGATCAGGCACAGGTCAGTGTCAATACGTTCATCGTATACGATCATTGCATCCGTCCCTAACTGAAGTGTGCAGACAGTTGCGGCAGCCACCAGGACATCACTACTGGACGTGTTCCGTGGAGTCACGCAGCTCCACAGAGAACATTAGATGCCGTCATCAGCAGAGCACAGTGGGGTAGTTCAGTCGGCCGCCCACCCGCCCTCTGCCCCAGTCAGCCCTGTGCCGTCGCCGAGCAGCCCCCCCCCCCCCACACACACACACTCAGGGACGCCCTGTACCGCCTCCGCCCCCCCCCCCCCACTCAATGACGCCCCTGTACCACCGCCGAGCAAGCCTCCGCCCCCAACCCCCTCAATGACGCCCCTGTATACTGCCGCCGAGCAGGCCTCCGCCCCCCCCCCCTCCCCCCACTCCATGACGCCCCTGTACCGCCGCCGAGCCGGCCTCCGCCCCCCCCCCCCCAGTGACGCCCCTGTACCGCCGCCGAGCAGCCCCCCCCCCACACACACACACTCAGGGACGCCCTGTACCGCCGCCGCCAGGCCTCCGCCAATGACGCCCCTGTATACCGCCGCTGAGCCGGCCGGTGACGGCGGAAACCGCGCCGCCGCCGCCGGGCCGCCGCTGCCGGGCGTTTTCCTTCCCGAACAAACGAGGGAAAGTGAAGACGCGCCCGGCGCCTGGCACTCGGCCGCTTTGCCGGGTGCTCCGACACTGCAGGGTATAATGTGGAGCGCTCTGGGCCCGGCGCCGGCGTGGGAAGTCCACGCTCGACCGTCATGCCCCCGTTCGCTCGGTTAAAATCCGCAACCCCTCCGCCCCTCCCCTGTCTGCCGCCACGCGCGACCTGATGGCTCGCAGAGCCGCCGCGCTCTCTAGCCGCGGGCACGGCTCTGACGAATACCGGGCCGCTAACCGAGCGGTGCGAGCAGCTGTGCGGGCGGACAGTCGGAGCGATATTGAGGGGCGAATCGCAGCGGACGGTCCGGCTTCGGTGTGGCGTAACTTGCGGCGTGTCGTGAGTGGCAAGCGAGATTCGCATGTCACTTTTCCCCGCGTCAGTGGTGACACACTGAATCAGTTTTTTGTCGATGTAGGCGCAAACATTGTTTCCGATTTGAACTCCGGTGTGCACGACTCGTCTCGGCAAGTGCCTGTGCGGCTACTGCGAGTCGGTTCGTGCGGTTTTACCGTGCAACCCGTCAGTCTTGAATTTTTAAAGAACGTTGTTTTTAGCATGCGAAACTCATCTGCTCGTGGCTCTGACGGGCTTTGCATTCGCGTTTTTAAGATGTCTTTTAGTGTGATCGGACCTGTTCTCTTGCATGTTGTGAACTCCTGCCTATCCATGAACGACATCCCCGCATCCTGGAAACATGCCCAAATCCACCCCATCCTGAAGTCCGGTGATCCCAACAATCCTGCAAACTACCGTCCTATTTCCATCCTCCCTGTCATTGCGAAGGTAGTGGAGAAGGTCGTACAGCGACAGCTTCAACACTACCTATCCTCCAACTCTCTCCTCTCCCCTACCCAACACGGCTTCCGTCCACATCACTGTACCGAATCAGCCCTTCTCCAAATCTCTGACCGAGCACTTGCTGGCATGGATCAAGGCCACATCTCTCTGCTCTGTTTACTTGATCTGTCTAAAGCTTTTGACGTGATTTCCCACTCTAAATTGCTTGACAAGCTCGAGCTGCACGGCATTGACACTGCCTGGTTTCGAAATTATCTTGACGGTCACACGCAAAGCGTAGCCATCTCTGCCTCACAGAGCTCCCCTCCGCTCAACATTAGCCAGGGCGTCTTCCAGGGGTCATCGTTGGGTCCTCTCTTGTTCAGCATCGTCGTTAACGATCTTAGCTTGTACGCTGGCGACTCTTTTATCATTCAGTACGCCGATGACACCCAGGTTTTAGTCTCTGGACACAAGTCCGAGCTACCTGACCTTATCTTAAAACTCGAGGCATCTCTCCAGTCGCTTGGTGATTACTTTCATTCGAACGGTCTAAAACTTAACGAGTCAAAATTCGAGCTACTTCCCATCGGCTCACGTCAAAATCTGCGAGACCTCCCACCGTTCACGGTCAAGTTTCGGCAAGCCGTGCTATCACCTTGCACTGAAGCAAAAAATCTCGGTGTCACTTTTGATCGCCATCTCACTTGGGACTCGCACGTATCGCAACTGTCACAGAAGTGCTTCGGCATCCTTATTGGTCTCTCCCACATCCGCCACTACCTACCATCCGGCACTCTCCCAATCCTTGTGTCTGCCCTCGTCCTTTCCCACGTCCGCTACTGCCTCTCCGTCTATGGCAACGGGTCTGCCAAGAACCTCGCCACCATCAACAAAATTCTAAATTTTGCGGCCCGCATCATCTCCGGCAAAAAGAAATTCGAGCACATCTCCTCTGTCCGTGCCTCACTCGGCTGGCCGGACCCCTCCACTATGGTTCAAGCCCAAACCCTAAACATCCTACACAAAGCTAGACGAACAGGTCAGCCCGAGTCACTAGCTGCACTATTTGCCACTAATGCCGAGCGTCCAGACCGTAGCCGCAGCACCAGGCAGGACCACCTGCTTAGTCTTCCCCGCATACACGGCTCGGCTGCGGGGAAGCGGCAATTCGTGTACCGCGCTGCCGCAGGCTATAACGCCCTACCACGCGAGTTCTGGGACATGTCCACCTCGATGTTTACCAGCAAGGTCTTAGAACTCTTATCTTCGGTGACATGAGCTGACACGTCACTGTAACCGCTTTTAGCTTCTGCATCGTGTGTGTAGTGTGGTTTATGTGTGTTCACTTTTTATCCTCATCATTGCATTTCTTAGCGTGTGTTGACTCTGACTCGAGAATAGCCCTGTGATTCCGATCTCATGAAGGGATGAGTCTATGACGTAAATACAATACAATACAATACAATACGCAGCGGCGGGAGGTGGGTGCCCGCTGGACATTCCCGGACCGCGGCCGGTGGACGGCGGACGGCAGCGTTTCTCCTCCAGATCCATGAGAACGGAGCCAGTATAACTGCGGCTCATATCGCTCCGTGTACCTACACTGGGAACGGTATATCATTCCGACATCACCTAACCGTGACAAAAGGCAATGTGACGAGAAAGAAAACCATAAACATCCTGTAATGTCGGAAACGTATGACTTTATGTAAGCCTAGGCTCTCGTAAGCAGTTTGGATTACACTGTCAATATTGCACCAAGAGAGACAAATACTTTTTTACGTATAACAGCCGGACATTCTGGAAACTAAGACCTGTCATGAAATTATTATAGTGTATACCCCACGATAAGTAGGCGTCTGCCCGGGTGTTCACTTCCTTTCAGACGGCAGGATCGGGCTCTAATCCAATACGAGCACTACAGCAGGCTCTAACCCGTGTTTTTTCAGACTGAACTATATACCTAGCATATGGCGTAGCTGCACAGTGGGTGTCTTTATATGCAGACTGCAGTCATTCGCCGCGGTGGTGCGCGGTGACGGGCAGATGATCTCATTCGTGGCTCATGTCTCAGTCATATAGAACACTGAGCGGTGCGCTGGGTGCCGCAGTAACCCCTTGTGACATACAGCGGAATATGTACCGACATACTCGGCACACGGCGAGCATGCGGAGTGCACTGCATGCCCACATATAGTCACTAGTCAGTGACATGAAGGTGACCCGTTTCTCTAAGTTGCCTTTTTGTTAATTTCGGTGACCTCTACCGACCTTTCATGACCTGTAGCGATCCCGGTGACCTACAGCGATTCTCGAGTTCCTCAGCGACCCGGAGTGACCGTGGCGGCGGTGACCCCTCCGTGTCAGTGCGCAGTGACCTCTGTGTCAGTGTGCAGTACCTAACCCCCTGTGCCAGAGGCTGCTGACCCACCTCGCTGGATCTCACGATGACGCGGTAGCAGGTGTGGTCGCGGCCCTCTCCAGCGGCGGCGGCGGCGCGCGGCCCACTCTCCTGCAGCCAGTCGCGCCGGATGCTGACCGCCACTGGGCCCAGGCTGTCGTCCGTGCCCACCCAGTTCTCGTGCTCTGTGGACGGACGCGGAGGAAATGAGATCACAAAGCGCCCCAGCATCGGTGGGATACTTTCGTCTTAAATGTCACACCAGCAAATCCGTTAAAGATGAATCACAATCTCAGTCTTACAACATAATCCTGTCAAACACAGCCGGAAGTCTTCGAGCACCAGCTGGAGCTTGCTGTTGAAAAAAAAATGCTAGACCTTCCAAAGCTCGGATAGTGCGAATGTCTTCTCAGTTCTCATTATCGGAAAGCTGTTAACTACTGAAATGAAGCATGCTATAATGCCTAGTATAGTAAATGGTTGGAAAAACCGCCTTTCTTTGCCGAGATAAATAAAAAGGAGACGTAATATATCAGTTACATAAATCCAAAACCCACTAATACCTATCGTTACCACTTCTATCTGTAAAAATATTGACCATTCCGTGCCTGCACTTCGTACAATCACACTCACATTTTTAACCCGCGCCCAGATGGGGTCTGCCGAGCAACGCGGTCTGATGGGGGGAGGCCATTTTGGCCCCCCCCCCCTCAGATCTCGAGAACCACGCAACATAGCGACAAGCGGTAAACGGTGTTGGATAGCCCCAACGGGGAACTACCTTGTGACCCAATTTCATTGACCTCGGTCAAACCGATGACGTCACAGGTCAGGTCAAAGGTCGAATTTTCACCGTTTACAGGCATTTCAAGAAATGCGTTGTAAAATCGAGTAAAATGCATTTCATTGAAAATCATCGGTGGAGAAATGTTCTTCAAACACATATTTTGCTATTTGAGGTCACTGATACCAGGTCAGGTCACAGAGGTCAGGTCACTGGGGGGGTCACAATATGAAAGTGTCGTGTGATACATGTTTTATGGTCCATTTTACATGACAAATGCGATTATGTGGGTAGACACTGTTTAGGGCCAGCTTAGGTCACGTTTTAGTCAAGGTCAGGTCAAGGTCAGGTCAAGGTCAGGTCAAATAAGGTCAAATTTCAAAGTTGATATTTTTGCGTAAAATGGGTATCGATTCGATGCAGCTCGTCACGGGGAGTTCAATGGTGGTCTCTGTTTTGCGCTACGAGGTCTAGAATTGCTAAAAATTGAGTTCAAAAATTTGACGTCATCAATTTTTAACAGTTTTTTTGCTATAACTTGGCCAAAAAAAGAGGTATCGATCTAAAATTTGGTATGTATATCTAAGAGCGTAGGGACTATCACATATATTCCGGTTTTTTCGAAATTCGAAAAAAAATTTGCAAATTTTTTGAGTTTTTCTAAAAAAAATCAATTTTTTTGATTTTTGGGGGTCAAAATCCCAAAATTTTGAAAATCCGAGATAGCAGTTTTGTAGCGCCGTCTTTTCTCTACACAACCACATGAAGAACTTTAAAATTGCTTGTTAACTGTAGAATTGGTAAGCGTTTCAAGATGTCATGTTTTTTGCTCATTTTTTCTCGAACATGACCTCAGTTTGACCTCAATAACTCCTGACCTGAGGTGACCTGTGACTTGAAATTTTGTGTGAAGGTGTTAAATTGATGCCCGGTAAGGTACCCAAAATTTGGCGGCGCTGCGCGCCGCCGTTTTCTCGCTATTTAAGAAAAACCACAGGGGGGGGGCCAAAATGCCCCCCCCCCATCAGGGCGCGGGTTAACAAAGATTTCCCGTCCGAGCCGCCCGCCATGGGACAGAAATCGGGCCGAAACAGCATGACTACCGGTTTCACATAGGTATGGTCTTCGAAACGGCCATATCAATGATGTGATGTCCATACACCCTGCCACGCCCAGAACCAGTTATTTCCGGACTGCAGAGCCGGGTCGGATGTGCCCACTTCCGGTCGGAGGGAGGTCGCAGGGAGCGCGGACAGAGAAGGATTCCGCTCCCATGTGGTGGAAGGATCGAATGCTGCAGATGATAAAAAAAACATCGCTGACCGGCGTTGCAGAACCTATAATCTAACATAGCGTCCCATCTATAAGTCGCGGTAGCACTTTTACCTTTCTTTGTGGTTTGACTGTATCCCTCCGCTGCAATGCCCGACACCTGCACGCTGACAGCGATACATTTTTAAGAAATTCATAACCGAAGCGGTATTTTGGAGGTAGCGGAATGCACTCTTTGCAATAGGTATTTTACATTCAGCTCTGGTCACGGCTGTGGCATAGTTGAGCACATAGTGCATCCGGCCGCTCCCCAGTCCCATTACGGCAACACTGTGTGGCCTCTCACGGCTCTCACCACATGGCACGGGGGCCTCCCGCGACCCCAGCGAACTAGCGAACCCGTGAACCCGTGAACCCCAGTGCTCCCTCTCGTCACCATCCCGCGACATACCTACCCAGCGTCTGGTCTGTGCCGTCATTACAGCGACACCATAACGACACCGTAACGTCACCGTAACGTCACCGTAACGTCACTGTAACGTCACTGTAACGTCACCGTAACGTCACCGTAACGTCCACTGAGGACGACACCGCAGCGAAAACACCGTCCGCCTAAAACGACACTCGTTTGAACGCAGCGCTCGCCACGAAGCAGGCAACAGGTGCCGCCTGGTTACCACTGCCATTAATATCGACTGCAGCGCATTGTCGGACCTGCATTACCTACGTCAGTGCATGCAGGCCAAATCGGGATATGTGATCGGCTTTGGACGCTCGGTCTGTTTTTAGCGGCGCTCAACAGCGGCGATAGAGTCCGAGGGTCGGTGGAGCCTGAGCCGAGCCCACTCGGACCACGTCACCGCCGGAGTAGCGTGCTACAGCAGCTCCGTCCCGCTCTGGACTTCCGTCCGTGCGGCTGACGCGCGCAGGAAAAGCGGCCGAACCCGGTCAGCGCGCGCGAGGCAGCCGCGGTGCCTCTGAGGCTCAGCACGGCTTGTGAAAGTGACACATCGCTCGCGCCGTGGGTTGGAAAATTCACAGTTTGGTCCCACATCTATTATAGGACTTCTAAAAAGCAGGTGAGTAAATTTATTGCCTGGATGAGCATCATGATGAGCGGTGAGTGGTGTGAAGAACATTTTTTACTTCAAAAGGTACAGGAGGAAAAAAGAGAAAAGAGCACTGAACACGACATTGCAACTATTCCGCCAGCATTTCTTCACAATGAATTAAGGTCACGCAGATCAGAAACAAGAACAGAAATTGTTCATAAAAATGGTTCTGAAGACTAAAGACCCAAGACCGAAGTGAAACGCAAGAAACCATTAACAGAAAAGCATCTAATTCACGGAAATGCGCTTAATTATTACAATATCAGGCTAAAATGCATATGGGCCAATCACTAGCTTGCAGGAATTGGTGAGACCGCTATTACATGAGCAGAAACGGTAACTTACCATACAGCTAAAACATGTAGCCCCTCCCGAATACCGACTCCCATAACTATACCGCCGCAGTTCTGCCCTGAGGCACTCATGCCTCCATCTGACGTCAGGATGACGTACCCCCGCGGTCAGCTGGCGCCCGGCGGCGGCGGCACCCACCTCTGCCGTGGAAGAAGTCCTTGTAGTAGTAGCTGCCGACGTTCGAGTGCTCGATGGCCATGCCGTGCCGGCTGAAGGGGCAGACGTGCGCCGGCCAGTGGGTGATGCCGGCCGGCTGCTCGAGCACCGAGAGGCCGCACGTGGCCGGCGCGCGGTGGCAGTGCAGGTCAGGCCGCGCGGCCGCCCGCCGCCGCCGGCCGCCGCTCGGCGCCAGCTGCAGCGTCCGGTCCCGCTCGCCGCCCACCTCGTTCCGAAAGAACGGGCAACTGCCAGCGGACAGAGCGCGGACGACATTGTGAATAAGGCGATGATGACACGCTTTTTGTCTTGTTACCAGGGTTGTATACCAATCAAGTCGATTGAATTGATTGATTTGATTCAACGCGTATCTTGAGTTGATTGGATTGAGTCGATTGACTTTTCGAGATGACTGGTTGACTGACTCGTTTGACTTTAGCGACTGGTTGACTGATTTGATTCCCGAAAATTAGAGTGACTCGTATGATTGAGTCGATTGAATGGAAAGTTTAAATAAGTTTTAGTTGACGAAAAATAATGACACCAATTGATGACATCAAAGATCACAAAACTACACTGAAAACTGCTTGTCATCACAACTGCAATACGGGGTAGATGGCCAAATAAAGAACAGGGCCTAACCATGAACAGCCAACTTTGACTTTCAACTGCAATAACTGCTCCAATCCTGTGATAGAACCTGGCCATGGATGAGATAATACCTGGCGATGCACCTACCTACCTTTCTGCACTCAGCAGGAAACTTTTTTTAATCCAGATGATAAAGTGCAAGGCCCTATATACTAATAAAGTGTGATTAATTAATAATTCACATCTCCACATCTCCTCAGAAACAACCCACTGAACTCTATAAATATCTGAAACCCCTACAAAAATAACTGAAACAAAAGCGTCGTTTTCGTCTCGCTAATTACGTTTACGTAAATTAATAGCTAATTTGCTGCATTGTTTAACTTGCAGCAGAACGTTTGTTGATCCTTTTCTCCTGAGAGCCTAAGCATAACATATTTAATATATTTCATTTTCCTTAAAATATTTTACCGAATATTATTAAGTGGTTTTATTACAAAAGAAATAATAATTAAAACGAAATTGGTGTTGTACAGTAGGTCTACTAAAAAAGTCCCCCGCTCCAGAGGCGGCCGGCCGGCCGAACCCCCGGATTCCAGCCCCGACTCTATTGCGCAGGCCGCGGCAGTGACACGGGTCAGGTCGCGGCGCCCGGCGAAAGGGTCAGTTGGCGGCGGCCGGCCGTGGAGTGAGGACGCCGCGTGTGGGGCGCAGCGATGCCGCAGTGCAGAGGAGGGGAAGATAGTGACTGCACGATGCCGGAAATGATGCCTTTGTGATCTATATTAAACACCTGCACTGCAGTGCATATCCTCCCTTGCCCCATTCCTATTATGTATATCATAATCCTTCAATAATCCGTAATGACCATTCAACGCAAGCAAGCAAACAAAACAACCCGTTTAGCGGCGACATCATCTCGGATAAAAAAGCGACAGTGATGAATAGAATTGACTTAGCGCGAGGGCAAATCGAGGGGTATATATGTATCATAATTTATGCCGAGTATTTTATTCCCATCTAGCAAATTAGGATTGGGGATCTTCTCCAACAAGTCAGCGGCCGTTCTAGACACAGATAAATACTTTGTTTTCGGTCGCATCATTATCTGCAATAATTCGAAGCGAGGTTTAACCCTCGCCGGCCGAGAAAAAGGGGTGGATGCCGCCGCCCACCATGTATTTTTTTTTTGTGGGAGCTCAAAGCACACTAATGATAGAAGGCTGACATTTCATATGCCTTATGTTTGATTCAAGCCGGATCATTTGAAATCAGCCACGTTTTCATGTCAGGTCACTTAACTATGTCGTCTTAACCCTCGCCGGCACAGGCCATTTTGCGTCCTTCGACGGCACAAGGGGGGGGGGGGTTGGTACGACCCCCCCTCGCGTTTGGCCCCTGATCGAGCTAGAGCTTCGCGGAAAAAACGAGCGTGCTGCCCGTCACGAGAGGAAGCCGATGATACCCAATTTTAAGGTTTAAGGTCATCGGGTGACCTTCCAGGTCAGGTCAATGACCCGAAAACCGGGAAAATTGGGACCTGCTAGAAAGTCGTAAAGTGTGGTTGCTATGTGGTTTTCCGGGGTGCTGATCACGAATATCGTGTGTTAGTTTTGATCAGAGATGATGTTTTTAAGCATTTAGACCAGGTCGGGTCAGGTCAGGTCAGGTCAACCGGTAGGGGTTGTGACGGGTATTCGTAATATGTGTCAACCGCCTCTGACAGCTTCGTAACATGTTACGAAGGCACTAAAACTACTTCGTAAATGTTCAAATGGTTGCTAAATTCGAATTCAGCTCCAAAAACTAGCCTAAAAACATGTAAAACTCGAAAAAGTGAACCGAGGTCACCCGAGGTCACCAAAGGTCAATGACCTGACCTGACCTTCAGGTGACCTTGACACCCACCCTAATGTATGGGAGCAACATCAAATCACATGTTTGAACGTTTGAAACCACGAAAAGCTTGCAAACGCGCGGCTAATGCGAGCCGACATACGCCGAATCGCGATTTCGGCCAAACATGGTCACGGAAAAGAGGTCACAGGTCAAAGGTCATTGGGGTCAGGGTCATGAAATTTTCAGGGAACGTGTAAAATTGATCAATGCGAGGGTACTGAAAGTTTCGTCGCGATGGGCCGCTTTTTACGCGAGTTATTCGCGAAAAACCTTATGGGGGGTGCATCAACCCCTCCCCCCCCTCCGTGTGCCGGCGAGGGTTAAGTAAACCTCTGCAGACTGCACGGTCGTCGGTTGTAAAATGATGCAAATCCGTAATGATGACCTAAAACTATACCTCAAGCACATGAACTCGTGACTTCATACATTCTTGGCAAGGTTTAACCCTCGCCGGCCGAGGGGGGGGGGGGGTTAAAAACCCTATGGGTGCCACCCCCCATAGGGTTTTTGTCGCGATAGCTCCGAACACGCTGGCGATAGAGAGCTGAAGCTTGGCATACCTGACCTTTATTTCAAGCCGGATCTTTTGACACCAACTGCATTTTTTAATCAGGTCAGGTCACTGACCTATGACGTCATAAGTGAACCTCTGCACGGTCTTCAGATGTCGCAACTTCGCAACGCCCTCACTGCCAGAGGAGATGTCACAAGGAAATGAAGCTTGCAGGATCTAGTATTCATTATGAGGCTCACAACTTGTATATCTCGGATTTTTCCTAAAGGTCATATGAGGTCAGGTCATTTTCGTGACCTCACCATTATAAGTCAATGGGGAAAAATGAAAACTACTATTCTGGCACCGGGAACGATCTCCAACTATCTCAAGCACACAGAATCGTGATTTGATGCACTCCTTGCAAGGTTAGATGCGTCACTTTTGCAATGTTGACCTTGTGTGACGTCATTTATGACGTCATCAAGGTCATATTAGTTTTTCGTCAATAACTCTTGATCAAATTGAGCTAGCGAGTCGGGAAAGCCACCAGTGGACTCAGGAAGACCTGCCGAATCGAATGATATGCGACATGACCTCTTTCAACCAACTTCGTTACCTGGGGGTGCTGACCTGACCTTGACCTGAAGTCAACACCCCAAGTTGACCTGACCCGAACAAAAAGTATATCATTCGACGCGCCTGAGCAAGGCGAACACGCTGCTGCCAAAATCGGCGCTCTGCGGCCGTTTTTGCGAAGTTATTCACCAAAAACTGAACCGTACCTTGGGGCACTTGACCTGACCTCAGAGGTCACCGGTTGACCTAGGACCTTAAAATCGGGTATCAATCTCTGCGTCTCGTAACGGCGCACACGCTCGTTTTTTCCGCGACGCGCTAGCTCCACTAGGGGCGAAACGGCGAGGGGTCGTACCCGCCCCCCCCTCCTCGGCCGGCGCGTATGTAGAAAACCAATAGGTCCAGCGAGGGTTAATGCTTCACTTTTGCATTGCTCACCTTGCGTGACGGAGTGCTCGTCAATAGGAGTGCTTCGTCAATAACTCCCGAGCAAAATGAGCTAGCCAGTCGGGACAGCCATCAATGAACTCTGCAAGACTTGCCGAATCAAATGTTATGCAATATGTCTCCTTTCAACAGCTTCGTGACCTGTGTTGCCCTAACATGACATTGCCCTAAACATCCTAAATTGCTTCACCTAAGCAAAAAAGCATATAAATCGACGCGTCTGAGAACAGACAACACGATTGTATCGAAATGACGATAATGCGAACATTTTTTGCGAAGTTTTTCACCAAAAACCGATCCAATGCCGTGGGGCCCTTGACCTGCCCTAAGAGGTCACCGATATTCTAAAATGGGGTAACAGTCGCTGTGTCATGTAACGACGCAAGCGCTCGTTTTTTTCCGCGAGGCTCTAGCAGTTAGCTCAATTATAGAAGCTAAACATGGGGTTGGGGAATCGCTCCCTTCTCACTCACTATTTGGCCATGATAGTGTTCGCAATTATTGTTAAAATCTGACATTTTAAGATTTCAAATGACCCATTTGTTTCCGCCCAAGTCTTTCAATTGAAGGTCATAACACCAGGTCACGTCAAGTGACCTTACCTCAAGGAAAGTTCATGTGCTCATCATATCTAAATGCATCGACTAACCGATCACTTTAGAACCTTCAGCGATTTCAATGGGCAACAGTATATGTATTTGAAACGTTTACTTTGCAAGTTTGACATTGCTGACAGAAAGGTCGGGTCAATTTTGAGATCGCTAAAGTCAATGGGAGAAAGTCGAACTGCGCTTTTTTTTTTTTGACGGAACGCATAAGAAACACTCTGAAGTCTGAAAACATGTGATGCCTGATGAGATACAATACTGAATGAGAAAATTGTTTGTTTTGTTGGGAGCCATCTTTTTCGGTCTGAGAAGGCCCTTGCAGAGCTATGACATAACTATGTTCTGGTGTAGTAATTTGGTTGTGCGAGCCAGCGACAGTGATCTGCGGAAGCGTGACTGTTCCCGTGGGACGATTGCCCTGTCGGGGCGTTCCAGTCGTCTCCCCAACGGTCACCCGAAGAGGATTATGTGTCCTGGAATGGAACCGACATCAACTACAGGTTGGCTGGTGGGGTGACCTCCAGTCCAGAGGGGTAAGCATGAAGGCTAGGGGCGATGCGGATTGGTTTTTCCTGAGGATAGCGAGGACGGAAGCAATCTAGCACCCTTGACCCTTCCTTATACTGAATGTATCTCAGGCTGTTAACCCTATTAGTGGCAGGCTCCTGGCATACCCCTATTAGTGGCAGGGGGGGCTGTTTACGACCCCCCCCTTGATATCTCGAGATCTAACCGGCCGATTTTCAAAATTCAAACGGCATTCGAATTCGCTCAACGTGATCTACATTTCTAAAAAATAAAAATTAAAAAAATGTCAATAGGGGGGTAGAGGGGGGTAAAAACGGGCAAATTGCAGATACATTTTAGACTGTTTATCACGGCCAGGTTTCTGAACCAATCTTAACGTAACTTTTGCCGATCGATAGAGAATGAACAAGGAATTCACATGGATCCTAAAAATATGCATTTTCAAAAATCATAGGCGGATACAGATCATTGAGATTGGGGGTACACAAAAAGTATAGTAAATAAGGTTTTTGTTGGTACTGTTTCTAAAAAGGGTGGTAATGGTCTTGTTATGTTACAATTTTCTTATGAGAGAACGACTACAATTGTATTGGTCATGCAAAGGCGGTGTCAGGGCACCTATGTTGGGAGGTAAAACATAACCCCCCTTTTTGGACGCCTGGATCCGCCTATTATAGCAAAAACGTGTCAAAAGAGGATGCACAATAACTGTATATGTTATCACATGATACCTTTCATTCACTGTTCGTAAAACTGGTGCAGCATCGTGATCTTCGCCCAAATGACTCGCTTCACGAATAGGACCCCCCAATTCCCAGTGCTCTGGAGCCGCCCCTGGTAAAGTTATGAACTTGAAATTTTCAGGGAATGTGCCCAATTTAGTTTTAGGAAAAGTCAGAAAATTTCAGCATCGTAGCTTCAGCAGTTTTGGAGATATTCCCGAAAAACCTTAGGGGTGGATAAAAACAACCCCCCCTGCCACTAATAGGGTTAAATCTCCTAAGCGTTTTTTTTTCTCGACATCATCAAGGTGTCATTAATAAAAATATGAAATCCGGGAGGATAGATCAAATATAGAAATTGTGGCCAACAGAACATTATCAGTTGCGTTCAACATACTCGTAAGCATGATCACACACCTAGCTTACACCTGAGCCATGTAATAAATATTTTTGATAGACATGCTTAAGTTATGAAATCATCTAAAGTGTTTGTAAAGTTCCACGATACAGATCTAATATCCTGCTATGCATCATGACCATTTCTGGTCAGGTCATGTCTTTGAACATCGGCCAAATTCTTCAAATGACCTTTAAAGATCAACTTTTGATTCATTCGAAGCGTTTTGATAAGAGGACCACGAGGCTGGTAAAATTAATTTCATGCAAATTTAGCTTAAAACTTTTAGTGTTTGTGGAAAAGCAATTGGTTTTCTCATAATACCGATGATGGCAGTTGCTGTTATTTACGTGCTTAGCCGTTGACCTTAATTAAATCTGACAATATTATTCAGACATAGCGTTAAACGAGCTGCTTGTTGTGTTAGGTTAGGCTCTTTCGGTCAATTTCAGAGTGGGAGGGATGACAGGAATTAGGGGGAGACAGGGGGCCTGGGCGGGAGTCCTGGGCCTCATGCTCCGCTGGGGCCGAGCCCATCACGTGGGTTGGATTGCCCTGACACATGGATAGCCGTGGGCGGTGTTTCACGGCGCCGCGCTGCAGCACGCTGCGCTGCGCATTGTTGTTGTATTGTTGCGGCGGTTGATATGAATTCGGCTCCACGCTAGCGTTACGAGCTTCCGAGTCTGTTGATGCATCCATGGAAATTGGAAACCCAATGCACCGGTGCGCGCAACGCACCCTGTCCAAGCAAAATTTTATCATCGATGACCTCTGGTGACATGATATTTTGCTCTGACCCGATCTAAAATTGGCTGAAGTATCTTTTCTTCTTTTTGCTACTTTTGACGCTACTTCGAATACCACTTAAATGCCCAAAGCTGAGTTATAAGAATGATGCTTAATCCCCATTTCCACTCCAACAGGGCTTGAGAGTCTAGGCATTCCTGTGGGGCACGGGCTAACAATGACTATCTCATAATCATTGTGGCCATGAACATCTACTGCCATTGATTAACACCGGTTTCGCTGCGCTGAGCGGTGGCCGTCCCGTTTGTTGGATTCTACAGCTGGCTGGTGGAAAGCGTTACCGGTCGCCCGTCCACCGCCCGCGGGCCGGACCGAGCGGTCCCGCTGACCCTACCTGACCTGAGCCCGGCGCGATATGGGACGGGCAGACGGGGGTTCGGCTCAGCGAAGGCAGCGCCCACTGGTGCTGGGGACTTTTTTAATAGACCTACTGTACAACCGATTTATTTTATGATGATCTACCATACTACATGATAACCAATGACGTCATCTTACCAAAAAATCAAAAGACGTAGAATAAGGATTTATAAAAGCTTAGCATACTTATCGGCAAAACGTTTTCTTTGTTTTTTCGCAGTCGCACCGTGCCGTTTTCGCGTTTTAATTTTCCTTGTACCTTCTTCCTTTGTCTTTAACTTATCCTGTGGTTCCAGAGTCCCTGTCCTTTCCATTTCCTTTTAAATATATTTTTAATGCTCATCCCTATCCCCCAGTCCTAACAGTTTCAAATTGTATTGCAAAAAAATGTTTTGAATTCTTTACATATAACCTATCTACCTTCGTTGGTACTGTTGGTAGCCAGTGACACATCTAGGCAGGTAAGTAGGTACCTACCTGCTTTCCTGCTGTCTTCATAAAGCATACCTAATGAAGTTGTCAAATTTGTAGCACATTTTCAACACTTTCATATGGTGTCAGTGTGGCATGAAACCTAGCTAGGTTCATTATGTTCAGGGTTCAATTCAGAAGAGCTCCGCATAACTCACATAAGAGACAGACGGGGGCTTTACATGAGGTAGATGGCCTGATGACTTAGCTGGAATATGGCCAAAATTAAATTGACAACTTTTAGGTGAAAGGTGGTGATTTGGGTTAAGGGGCGTTTGTTGAAGTCAACTACTGGGTTATTTTGCACCCATTAAATGAAACTTCTGCTCCAATTCTACCCATTGAACCTCAATATCATGATCCACCTGTCCATCACTAGGTATCCTTCCTTATTACATAGAAACTTTGAATGGCATGGCAATTTATAATTTCAAATGACAATATTTTTATGTTTCTTCTGTAGGTAGGTAGGTAGGTAGGTAGGTAGGTAGGTGCACCAGACTGCTATGGACACTTTTCCAAGTTGGTGGGGCAAAAAACCTAATGTATATCTTGGTTTGAGTCGTTTGATTGAGTTGATTGATTCCTTTCATTGTCGCGTTTGAGTCGATTGAATCAATTCCCGAAAACTGCTCTGACTTGATTGATTTGATTGGTTTCCCAAATTTGTCGTGATTGAATTAATTGCTATTGATTGAGTCGTATACAACCCTGCTTGTTACCCGATAGCGAACAAACCACTATACTTCTACCGAGCAAAGAAGCAGAAAACATGTGTGAATATCCCCTCCCCTCCGTTCCCCTCCGTCCTATGACGGGCTGCGCAGTGCGCAGGGCTGGACCAGGTCAGCTGTGTCGGTCAGATCACGGTCATATGTGTCGGTCAGTGTGTCAGCCGGTGTGATCGGCAGACAGCGGGGCTCACCTCTGGACCAGGTCGTTGCTGCGGTCGTCGCCATGCTCCTCGTCCTCGGAGAGCTCGTCGGCGGAGCGGCTGGCCGGCTGCGAGGCGGCGCTGGCGCCCGTGGCTCGGTTGTGCCGCTCGTCGAGCCGGGTGCGCCGGCGCGCCGCCGCCGCCAGGCTCACCCGCAGGCTCTGGCAGTCGTAGTGGACGAGCGCGCGCCGGCGGCGCCGCTCCTCCTGGCGCGCCTCGCCGTCCAGCGAGTCGGTCGAGCGGCTGGTCTCTGGCTCCGAGAGCCGCTGCGAGTCCTTGACGCTGCCGCCGCGCAGCTTCCTGAACAGCGACTGCTCGGCGCCGCCGGCCTTTCGGCTGGCGCGCCGGTCCCGGTCCCAGAGCCGCTGCAGTCGGGAGCGCTGCCGCGGACTGGCGTCGGCCGAGTCGGCGTCGCGCGCGGCCGCCAGCTCCGGGTCCAGGCTGCGGAACTCGGTCAGCACGGCGAACGCCGCCTCGCCGCCGATGGCGTCGATGGAGCCGTGCGATCCGAACTCCCTGCGGAGCCCGCCGCCGCCACCGCCGCCGCCACCGCTCGGCTCCAGCTCCAGAGACGAGTTGGAGCGGTAGAGCGGGCCGCCGCGGCCGTCGGCGGCCGGCGCCGCGCGGCTCCGCTGCCGCGGGTGCAGCCGCTCGCTGCAGCTAGCCCGGGTGGACGCCGGACCGAAGGCGGAGCGCTGTAGCCGCGTGTGCGTGTGTGTGTGCGTATAGGCGCGCTGGCGCGGCATCAGGGGCAGGCCGGCCGGCGGGGGCATCATGAGCCCGTCCATGGCCGGCGGAGGCGGAGGGTGGCCAGCCGGCTACCGTCCCCGGCGGCAGACGGAGACACTGCCGGCAGAGGTCCTGCGTCAGACGAACAGCATGAGCACAGAGACGGACAAAGCGAACGCACAAACGAACAAAGTGAACACAGACGGACATATAGTGAACACAGACGGACATAGTGAATACAGACAGACACAGTGAGCACATATAGAGTACAGTGAGCACACAGACGGACATATAGTGAACACAGACGGACATAGTGAACACAGACGGACACAGTGAGCACATATAGAGTACAGTGAGCACACAAACGAACATAGTGAACACAGACGGACATAGTGAACACAGACGGACACAGTGAGCACATATAGCCCGCGACCTGGTGGGGGGGGGGGGGGGGGCTATTTTTTGCCCCCCCCTCCAGACTTTTCGATATATCTCCAGAACCGCTGCGCCGATCGTCACCAAACTTTCAGCACCCTCCCGTACATCAATTTTACACATTGTGACCAAAATTTTTTACAAAAGCTACGATAGGTTGGCCGGAAATGACGTCAGAGTGACGTCATGTTCTGCCGTTTTCGACCCAAAAAAGGGTTTCGCGGGAAGAGCTGTCAGGCCTATAGCTTTGCAAATACAGAAAAATGATAAAGACATAAAAGCTGTAGAATTGACGGGGCTACAAAACTGCTATCTCAGATTTTTGAAATTTTTTGATTTCGACCCCCAAAAATAAAAAAATAGATTTTTTGATATATTAGTCGAAGAATCCAAAAAGTTTTTTGAATTTCGCAAAAAACCGGAATATATGTGATAGTCCTTACCACCTTCCATCCACATACCAAATTTTAGATTGATACCTCTTTTTTTGGCGAAGTTATAGCGAAAAAAACTGTTCAAAATTGATGACGTCAAATTTTCAAACTCAATTTTTAGCAATTCTAGACCCCGTAGCGCAAAACAAAGACCACCATTAGACTCCCCGTGACGAGCTGCATCGAATCAATACCCATTTTATGCAAAAATATTAATTTTGAAATTTGACCTTTTTTGACCTGACCTTGACCTGACCTCCACCAGAAAGTGACCTAAATCGTACCTGATGGCCTTATAACCAACACCATTGAGTTGGAAATGAAAAAGTGGCCATAAAACATGCATCGCACAACCTTAGTAAAGTTGGGTTCATGTGGTGACCCTTGGTGACCTTTGGTGACCTGACCTGTGACCTGACCTGGTATGACCAGTGACCTCTAATAGCAACATATGTACTAGACAACTGACGCCTTATCGCTGATTTTCGACAAAATGCGTTTTACTCGGTGTTATAGCGCTTTCCCTAGACGCCCCGTGAACGGTGAAACATTTTATCTTTGACCTGACCTGTGACGTCATCGGTGACCCCGAGGTCAATGAAATTTGGTTCCCTACACCAAATTTGACAGGGCTATCGAACGCCGTTTGAATTTTGCGGATCCGTCCAGTAGTTTCGGAGATACGAGGGGGGGGCAAAAATAGCCCCCCCCCCCCACCAGGTCGCGTTATAAACAGACCCCACCAGGGCGCGGGATAGAGTACAGTGAGCACACAAACGAACATAGTGAACACAGACGGACATAGTGAATACAGACTGACACAGTGAGCACATATAGAGTACAGTGAGCACACAAACGAACATAGTGAACACAGACGGACATAGTGAGCACAGACGGACATAGTGAGCACACATAAGTTACAGTGATCACACAAACGGACATAGTGAACACAGACGGACATAGTGAGCACACATAAGGTATGTACAGTGAGCACACGCACGGGCACTGAAACACGTATAAGAAGCAGACCGAACACACCAACGGACGCAGTGAACACACGAGCAGATGAAACACACGGGGGGACCAATCGCGAACATGCAGACACGGGCACCGCGAACACAGGGGAAACATCGCATATGCGCCCCGCTGTTCACCAGGTCAGTTACCGCGGATACCCATACACGAGGACGATAAATACGCATTACAAACGGACTACAATGCTAAGGGCTTTGGGTTTATTAACCCGCTCATGCATCCCCGGTATGTGAGCTGGCCGCAGCTCCGGCGCGTCGTATCCGGTGAGTTCGGCGTCACTGTCCAGATGCCCCCCGCCCCGACACTGACGGTACGTGTCGGCGCAGAGCGGAGTCGGAGCGGCCGCAGACCGCCGTCGTCCAATGGCTCCCGCTCCCGTCCGCCGCGGTACGTCAGACGGAGCGGCCGCGACCGCTGCGCTCCCGGAACCCATCTGCACCCAGCAGTCCCATTGTTCCCGCACCACAAACAGGACACAGGCCACCACACCGACCGGACAGGAATTCAACTGCACATCATCCCATGGACGCCGCGGCGCAGAGAAAAACGCGCCCGCAGAGACGGTGGGAGGAGCGGGGATTTAGTGATCTGGTGTCGACCCGTTCCGATCTGCACCCGTCAGGGCTGGGAAAAATGCTGAATCTGCTACATACCAGATATTACGAGAAACTCTTTATTAGCTACATTGCCACAAATGTTCCTCACATCATTTTTGCTAGAGAAAATGATTTTACAAGTAATCAAAATTCTGGACAGAGCTTTCCACTTTCATTTTCTATCTATTCTCAAATTGAGCTTTGAATGTTTTTATTTAGTTGGTTGCGCTTAAACAAAAACAGATACAGTGTTTTGCTTATGCCCCCTGTGAATGTTCTTTTTCTTATTTTTTACTCTTTGTAGGTACCTACTCACTACTCAGTTTTAGAAAAAGCATACAAATATCAAAATAAGGTGCTGTAGGGCTTTCTCAGAGCAAGTTCCAGCACCACCTGAGAGCACCAGAGAGCTCCAGTGAGCCCTAGAATTTTCCTATCAGCATTCCAGCAACTTCAGGATTCAGATGGTATCAGCCTACTCAGGCAGAAAGTATTTGAAAGAAATCATGTTGATTTGGCTGCTCAGTCTGGTCAACAATTTACAATCATTGTCCATGCCGAACCCGCTGTACAAAAGTTGCCAGTTGCCACCAATCAAGGTTTAGAGTTGATACAATAATTGAACATGTAAAAAAAAAAATCTTTTCTGGGCGTTACTTGATCAATATTTCAATCAGATCTCACCTTCTGCGCAAATTCGATCATAGGTATCTCCCTATATCTTCACACATCTTGCTTTGCGTGCTGGGCGGCTACCTTGCTCTTTAACTGTGTACTGCACGCCGCTTTAGGGACAGTTGTCATTGCAACACTTGAAATTAGGCCTGGAATATCCCACTTTCCTAAAATAGAGGCAAAATAAAAGCTAAAATAGCTGAAATAATTCAAAAACACCCAGAAACACTCATCAAACTCAACTGAACTATCCACGCGAAGCGACAACTAGAATTGTCTCTAATGCGCCAGAAACAATGCATCAACAAAATACACAAACAGCAATGACGTAATTTGCATATTTTTGACAAGATTTCTTAATAAAACTTACAAAAAATGTTCATTAGTTCTTTAAAGCTCTAATTCGGTTCAAATGAGTATGGTTTTGACAAAAACATACATTAAAAACTGAATGAAATTGTGTATGACGTCATCAAAAAGGATTAAAGACGTTGCAGGACACTGTATCATAAAAGATGGCTTTTTAGAGATGCCATGGGCAGAATGAGTTGATTCTTTTCGTATTTTTATTGATCATTGAACAATGCCCTTTTAAAAACAATTTGTTTTGTTTCGTAAATATGTCATTTGAATATTTCACAAATAATGAAAATCCTTTTTGCAATATTCATAAGAAAGATAGCGCATAAAAAGGCGTAGCAGATACCTTTTGTTACACGACTCAGAGTATGAAGAATTAGTGATGCTACGTGCCGAGTGCGTCTAGCGGCTGGTAGGGACAATTTTGAGACAGTGGTTGCGCGCTATATACAAACTGAATTATCGCAAGGCTACTAAATCAAATTGTATTTGCGCATTGGTGTCCTCGGTCTTTGTTATTGTTTGGGCTGGCTGGCTGCCGACAGGTGTGCGTTTGTTATTTATTTTTGTTTTCGACAGGAAGAGACAACTCACAATTGCGAAGAGATTACCTTTTTGATATTGACACTCAGAAGATTGGTGGAAAATGTGATGAGATTGAGATATTAAAAGATTGAGATGAGGAGTGCCGAGTGAGTGAGCGTTGGTTATTTCATTTTTTGTTTTCATCAGAAGATGGATTGAAATGTGTGATAAACAGGTATTCCAGAGATGATTGTAACCGAAGATCCGAGTTGAAATGGAAAAAAAGCTAGAGAAAACAGTGATTTTTATTGTTACAGTAGTTTGGTTATGATTCTGCAAGCACCTTCGTCAACTCATAACCGCAAGTACCTATTGGGTTTGCGAAGCAGTTTATCAAGGTGTTCATGGATAGGCTTATTTTCAAAGAACAGTAGACTACTGATACGTGTGGTATCATGTGTTTGACCAGCTGATGTTATCTGTTCTGTCATGTGCATTGATAGTAAATATGTGCATGCTTGGGCCCTGGCAAGATGAATAAAAGCATTCATATTTCGTAATAATGAATAATGTTGCTTTCTCTTCATGACTCATGATATGTTATGGAAGTGTTATGGGGTCTGAATGAAGTCAAACCATAGCTCATTTTGAAATGAATTTCCTGCTGGCTGGAAGCTGCACACACCACATGTAAAACTGAAATTCATTCATTGGTTTTGGCATAAAAATAACAAAGATTATGACAATCAAGTTTTGGAGCCTGGAAGGAGTATTATTCAGTGTTAGAATTCACTAGTGCTGATAATGGTCTTCTAGAGTCTCAATTCCAATTCTGGTTGCAATGCACAAACTCTGATCCACCCTGACACATTCTCACAGACAACTTTCAGCTCTCACAGATGTATTGAAAAACTGCACCATTTTCAATGCATGACAGGTAAGCAGGCACTATCATTGATTGAAGCAGGACCTTCAACGGCACACATTAGACCAGGAAATACAAGCTAGCCCCTTCACATTGATATTCAATTAGGTACATCTCACAAACATCAGA